CAATAAATAATAATGTTAATTTTAAATGCCAAGCGGGCGAGTACGGCTAGTATAGAATAAATATATAATTTTTTTTTTTTTTAAGAGATTTTATGACCTGGTAACTAAGACCTTTAAGTCATGTCTTATTTTACTTTATATTCTTGATTTTATGAAAAATGATAATATGGAGTGAAATGAAATGAAGATGATTAATTTGAGACATTAATCAACTGGGATGAAATTTAATGAAATGAGATGATATGGGATGAAATATAATCGCAGTAAAATGGTGGTCATTTACTGAGATTTTTTCAGTGGACTTTTTGGAGGAACCCGAGAAGTTACGTCCAGCAGCTTTGTTTCATTTTCCCACATTTGTGCACTTTCACAGATATTAAACAGTTAATAAACCACCATTATTACACATTTAAACCTGAAGAAACACTAAATAGACAAAATAAAACAAATCACACAACTTCACTCCTCGCGTTCCCGCCAAAAAGTCTCAATATATAATTTATACAGCCAAACCATAGAATCTCAATCAATCAATCAATTTAAGGATTTTTTTTCCTACCTATTCTCTGGTAGCCAGACAGGGGCTTAATATTCCAGCTTCGCGCGGACGGGTAGGTACGTGAGCTCACTGGCTCAACCTTAGACAATTTTCTAACACTATCCTTAGCAAGAGCAGTGCTTCGCAGAATCGGACCATCGGATCGGAATCGCGACCTACTAAGAAGATCCGGGGAGAAATGTAGCTGGCTGTGTATATGAGTTAGTTCGCTCGTTGTTCGAGTTCGACGTGAACGGTGACCGGTGCTTGAAGAGCCTAAAGCACCGAGAGTGGATCTGTGGGATCCGACAAAGCATTATTTGTTTCGTGTTACATATGTTTGACACATAGTGTGACACATAGACAGTATATGTACAGTTTTACTGGTGGTAGGACCTCTTGTGAGTCCGCGCGGGTAGGTACCACCACCCTGCCTATTTCTGCCGTGAAACAATAATGCGTTTCGGTTTGAAGGGTAGGGCAGCCGTTGTAACTATACTGAGATCTTAGAACTTGTATCTCAAGGTGGGTGGCGCATTTACCTTGTAGATGTCTATGGGCTCCAGTAACCACTTAATACCAGGTGGGCTGTGAGCTCGTCTATCCATAGAAGCAATACAAAAAAAAACTCATTCACGAGGGTCGCATGGCCTCGTGTGCTAAGAGCCTTGGCTCGCAACTGGAACCTTCAGGGCGCGTTTTTTTATTTATATATTGCTTAGGTGTTTGGACGAGCTCACGGCCTACCTGGTATTGAGTGGCTACCGGAGCCCATAGACACCTACAACGCAAATGCCGCCACCTACCTCGAGATATAAGTTCTAAGGTCTCCGTTTTTATAGTTCAACGACTGCCCCACCCTTCAAACCGAAACGCATTGCTGCTTCACGGCAAAAATAGGCGGGGTGGTGGTACCCACCCGTGCGGACTCGCAAGACATCCTACTACCAGTAATTACGCAAATTATAATTTCGCGGGTTTGATTTTTATTACACGATGTTATTCCTTCACCGTGGAAGTCAATCGTGAACAATTGTTAAGTACATATTTTACTAGAAGTATTGGTACCCGCCTGCAGGATTCGAACACTGGTGCATCGCTTGATACGATTGCACCGGGCGTCTTATCCCTTAGGCTACAACGACTTCGAGTGTGTTTTACAGTTTTACTCATCATCATCATCATCATCATCAGCCTTTATCTGCCCACTGCTGGACATAGGCCTTCCCCAATGCCTTCCACATAAAGCGGTCCTCCGCCTTCCGCATCCAACGACTTCCCGCCATGCGCACTAAGTCGTCAGTCCACTTGGTTGGAGGACGCCCCACGCTCCTTGTACCCATTGTACCCATGTACAATTTACTCACACTCATCCAATTTTTATACGAACCGAGACCTTTAACAAAATAATAAATAAAAAGCTCGCAAAATTTCTTTTCAATGCGAACGAATAAAAACTGTATTGACATTACATTGAAGTTCAAGTTCAGCCTCAAAAATGTTATTTATTATCTGTAAATTTGACACATGGGGTCGTTGCATTAAAATTACTCACTGCCGTACGTACGTACATTGTAGGTACATACTTTGTAAGCTGCAGTTTATATTTTAATGTCTTTTTGAATTGCTTATATCAATGGAGGAGCTCACGGTCCACCCAGACTACTGGAGCCCATGGACGCGCAACGTAAATGCCGCCACCCACCTTGAGACATGAGTTCTAAGTCTGAATTTTTTAAGTACAACAGCTAACCCTTCCTTCAAGCTGGAACGCATTACTATTACACGACAGAAAAGGCAGGATGGTGGAACCTACACGTGCGCCTTACCACCAGTAATTACGCAAATTATAATTTTTGTGATGTTTAGTTTTCCTTAGCTATTAGCTGGTAGTCTAAGAGGCTATTCCAGCTACGCCCAGACGCGTAAGTCACGGGCTCAACTTGCGAAAATTTTTAACACTAGCCCTAGCAAGTGCAGTGCTGCGGAGAATCTACCACTGGATCGGAATCGCGACCCACTGAGAAGATCCGGCGAGAAATTCGGTGGGCAATTTGTACAAGTTTCATTTAATTTCCACTTTTTTCTTTCTTTTTTTCCGACATATTCTAGTGACCTCGAGGGGCTATTCTAGATTCACTGAACTAGTAGTTGAGCTCGCGGGGCTCAAACCTGAATTTGTTGCTAACACGAAACCTAGCAAGAGCCATGCTCCGCAGAATCTACCACCGGATCGGAAACGTGACCCACTGAAAAGATCCGGCTAGAAACTGAGGGCTGTGTCTGTGGGATAATTTAGTCGCCGAGCCCTTTGTCGCATACGACGGGCTCGACGAGAAAGATGACCGGTGCTTGGGGTACCTAAAAGCACCGTTAGTGGATCGGGAGGACCCAAGATGACGTGTTTTGGGCGACGTCGACTGTTTACCATTCGGTCCGCAGGATCGGGAATGCAGTTACCGGTGGCCACGATGAGAGGGTTCCCGTGTCGTGCCGCTTTATCGAAATGGGNCCGAGCCCTTTGTCGCATACGACGGGCTCGACGAGAAAGATGACCGGTGCTTGGGGTACCTAAAAGCACCGTTAGTGGATCGGGAGGACCCAAGATGACGTGTTTTGGGCGACGTCGACTGTTTACCATTCGGTCCGCAGGATCGGGAATGCAGTTACCGGTGGCCACGATGAGAGGGTTCCCGTGTCGTGCCGCTTTATCGAAATGGGGCACTGATGTCGGCTGCGTATACTTACTGAAGGACTGTAGGTCCAGGTTGTCGTGGAGGTCGATGTTCCTGACGTACCACGGGGCTCCGACGGCTATCGCAAAAACGGGATTGGATGATTTAAAGGGGTTTCAAGGTAGTGCGGGCCGCGTGAGCGAACATTATATATGACACTTGCATAGGTCATGACGGGGCGTATTCAAGTTTTGTAGAGTGTCATCTTATTTCTAAGGGACAATTTACTTCGCTTGCAAATCATCGAATAGATAGATATATTCCACAATGCTACTCCTTCATCGTAGAAGTAATTCATGAACATGTATTAATTACGCTAGAAAAAATGGTACCTGCTTGCGGGATTCGAACACCGGCACAGTTGCATCGCTCGATACGAATGTGCCGAACGTCTTATCCTTTTGGGCCACGGCGACTTCAGACATGTCTTTGTCCTTCAATCCACATCGTTTCATTAAGTCGGTACCAGAGCTAATGGATGGATTAAATAAAGTATCCGAAAGAATTCGTAGATAATACTAAATTTGGACAAAGTCAAATGGCTTCGTACAAAGATATATTCATACTGGAGTACCTAAGCAAAATGAGTTTGATTGAATGCGGTTTGCAAATTACATAATACTCACACTTACATAGCACGTGCTAAACATTGATAAAAATCTCTTAGATGACGAACTCAATCACAAAAACTCATACGAGCTAGGTACGTCGGAATCTCGAATTTGAAAGAATATCTATCTATCTGCCTTCAAACAGTAAGACAAGAATGCGCATAGAAATAATATAATTTGGATGAAAAACCCACATGCTAATTATCTTTGGCTCAAGAGAAAATCGCTCTAATCCTACATATGTGTTCGAATCCCGCAGGCGGGTACCAATTTTTCTAATGAAATACGTACTTAACAAATGCTCACGATTGACTTCCCCGGTGAAGGAATAACATCGTGTAATAAATATCAAACCCGCAAAATTGTAATTTGCGTAATGATGGTAGGACCGCTTGTGAGTCCGCACGGGTAGGTACCACCACCAAATCAGCGAGGCGTATATAGTTAGTGACATATAAATATTACAATCGTTTAGCGTCGGCAATTAGTAAGTACCTACAGTCGGCATCGCTGCGCTATTTTGAGAAGGCGGCACGACATGAGAACCCTCTCATCGTAGCCGCTGGAAATTACATACCCGACCCAGTAGACCGAATGGTAAACCGTCGACGTCGCCCAAAGCACGTCATTACGGATCCTCCTGATCCATTAACGGTGCTTTTAGGCACCACAAGCACCGGTCACCGTCCTCGTCGAACCCGTCGCTTGCGACGAAGGGCTCGACGAGCGAACTAACCCATAGACACAGCCCACTGAGTTTCTCGCCGGATCTTCTCAGTGGGTCGCGTTTCCGATCCGGTGGTAGATTCTGCGAAGCACTGCTCTTGCTAGGGTCAGTGTTAGCAACACTCCGGTTGAGCCCCGCGAGCTCACCTACAAACGTTAGGGCGAAGCTGAAATAGCCTCTCAAGGCTATCAGCATAGGTAGGATTAAAAAAAAAAAAACGTCGGCAACTTAAAGGCTTAATATAGCCGGCGTATTCTAAATACGAAATATTAAAATTTTAAAAATATCAACACTCACACACAGACAAACTTCCGTCATTTTACGTATTATTTGATTTCGTTCCAATAATAAAACGAGTGTATGATGCATCAGATCAGTACAGTCGCGAGATAGGGCGAGCAGAGATCGGTTCATGCGACAATACGAAACCTCATTTTAATTTGTCGCAATTTTAAATTATCGTAATGAATCATTATAATGCAATTTGTGTTTGTTTGTGCGTTTTATTCGGTATTGTTATGTCAGCAAGTGAATTTACAGGTAAAAATAAATTTTATTGTTTTTATTTTTAAAAATATAGGTATTTTTTTATATATGATTATTTATTTATTTATTTATTTATTAGAGAAAATATCATTGTTTTCGTTTCGATTCAATGTTGCTTAATTGGTTCAAAATAATTTTATTTATAGAACATTTAATTCGAGTTTGTTATCCTTGTTATATTCGAGTTTTTTTTTTCCCGGTATTTTCGTTTGTCGCTATTAATGTAAATTCATAGTTTTTTTTGTATCTTTTAGTTAAAGTTTGTCAAATCACCTTATATTTCTTCACAACATAAGCAAAGTATCTCACTATCTCACGGCCAGCCTCATATTAACACTAAACCTACCAGTACGCTTCATTGAGAGTTTCCAAATTTTAGTAAAATTTGCACGTTTTACCGTTAAAATTTCTTTATCAAACTCCAACACAATTCTTTGAATATGTAAATAATCTCTCATTTTTCTTAGACGGAAAAAAAATGAATAATTATCATCTGAATTTAATAATAAAATAACTTTTTTTAATTATCGGTCAATTTGACCGAGCGCGGTTGGAATACGTATACAAGAATAGTAGGTGGCTTTAGTGTTAAATTGATACCGGTGGCCATAGACATTTGAGACAAATGGAGTCTCCATTATATTGGGTAGCTCCCATCAATGTCCCATCAGGGGTCCCATCCTTCAAAGCCTGTTAGCTCTATAAGTCCTAGTACCGGTTACGCAGATTGCTCAATTTTGATACTTTAATTTTACCGCACAATCTTATTCTTTTCTTGCAAACACGCGTTAAGAGTTCGCTCAGAAACTTTGTACTTGCCTGCGGGATTTATACATCGGCTTTCTCATTGCTTGATATAAATATGCAACTGGCAAATTATCCTATAGACCACGACGATTTAAAAAAATACCAGTTACGCAGCCCTGCGGAATATTACTAACAGTACTTACTTAAGTAGCAACAAGCGCCCCACCTACAACATTGTGCAAATAGTCTCCGAACAAAACAGCTGTGACATACGAACAGGACGAGAGAATAATGTTTCCTCAGTAAAAATAAAAAGTAAACATTACTCTAGACACAGGTGTTCTTTTTCAACGATTAACGACAAACGCGTATCGTTAGCCTAATTAACTGGTTTTTTTTTTAGATACTTAAGTCAGTAAATCAGGTATTTCTCGAGCCGCGAAATTAAATATTTGTATCTGACGTCTTGCTGGCAGAAAATCCTGGGATCTTGACTGGTGGTAGGGCGTCTTATGAGCCAGCTTAGTTAGGTACCACCGCCCTGCCTGTTTCTGCCGTGAAGCAGTAATGCGTTTCGGTTTGAAGGGTCAGAGACTGGAATTCATATCGACATGAGAGAGCGAAAATGTCGTAACTTGCATTTTCAGTTAAATCACTTTTCACCATATTATATTATACATTATATGGCTCTGGTGTAAAGTTTGTTTTTTCAAATTACGCCAATTCCGCTTTCTTATGTCGATATGTACATTAATTTAAAGTTATCGCAGTCAAGATATACTCATTGTATTTTTACCTATATATGGGTAATCTTCAGACGGGAATTAATGACTGCTTCGCCGCAAAAAATTAAATCAACACTTAGGGTCGCCGCACACGGGCCACCGGCCACAACCACAAAACGCCCCAACCAAAATATTTCCTGTAATTTTCATACATCTATATACATAAAAATGAATTGCTGTTCGTTAGTCTCGCTAAAACCCAAGAACGGCTGGATCGATTTGGCTAATTTTGGTTTTGAATTATTTGTGGAAGTCCAGAGAAGGTTTAAAAGGTAGATAAATATGAAAATGCTCGGAATTAAATAAGAATAACAATTTTGTTTTTCCTTTGATGTGTCCCCCGTCGGACGGATTCCTTTTGTTTGTTTTAAGTTTATTTTATACGAAAGTTTAGGTATTTTATTTATCGATTGAGGCACTACGATGTCTGCTGGGTCAGCTAGTTTTATATTTAAGTAGCATGTGGCAGCCACCGGCGTCAATCATATGCCGCGTGTCCATATAAAATGTATGAAAATGTACGAGAAATAGGTCGGTGGCTATGTTTTGTGCTTGTGGCTGGTGACACGTGTGCAACAACACTAACCGCTTGCAATTATATAATTTTAAGTGAAATATATGTTTTTTTTTTAATTGTCTCATAACTTACAGGAAAATCTGTCGAGGATCATTTCCCAATTAAATATAAATTAATCTTAAGCAATCAATCAAATGTAATCAAATCTTAGTTATATATTTAATATATATATTTTTTGTTGTTGTTAATGCACTGTCGATTGCACCTATAATAATAATTGAGGTGACATCTGCCATGAACTTTTGTCAATTGTATTGATGATCACTTTGTTGGTGCGACTTAATAAATAAATAAATAAATTAATATAGATGAAGAGTACTATCACCTGCCGGATCTGTACCATTTGGACGACTACACGAAATGTCTGTCGCAGAAACAGGGCCTGTATTGCCTGGGAACTTTCGAACTGTCACCAGCTGAAGAACAGAGTCCAGTTTTCGATCTTATCAAGGTAAATAGTAACTATATATTGTTTATTCTCTCAAGGTTCATTTAAACGCTGTATTTCTATACGTTTTTACAGTTTTCACAATGAACCCAATAAGAATATTGCACCCTTAAAGAATCTATATATTAATACGTGAAGCAAAAACTTTGTATCCCTTTTTACGAAAATTGCGTGGACGGAGGAGTATGAAATTTTCCACACTTATAGAGAATATAGAGAAGAAGTGCACAATGCTAATTTTTTTTTAAATAATGCATAAAAGATACATTAAATCAATAAAGAAAACATTACACACACTACATACCATGTATTTGACGCACACAGGCATGCATACTATTTATTGTCAAACTTTTGTTCTTGGCGTCTGTGGTCAAATTGAGAATAGATTAAATATTGTTTGTCTTTGTTAATATTTTTTATAGTGTACTCTTGGCGAAATTTGTGATTATAGAAGTATAAAATACAATCATAATAGTGTCCAAACTTACAATTTCAATTAATTATAGTCGAATTCCGACTACTGCGGGACCTCTAGTAAAATTAAAATTATAGATAGTGCGTTAGAATCGTTCCCGTAAACGAAGATAAGCTATTATTATATATTTTTTTTGTTTTTTTTGAGTAAATTACAGTTTACTTATTATTTTTATTTACCGGTGGTAGGACCTCTAGAGTGAGCACGGGTAGGTATCACCGCCCTGCCTATTTCTGTCGTGAAGCAGTAATGCGTTTCGGTTTGAAGGGAGGGGCAGCCGTTGTAAATTTACTGAGACCTTAGAACTTATATCTCAAGGTGGGTGGCACATTTACGTTGTAGATGTCTAAGGGCTCAAGTAGCCGCTTAACACCAGGTGGGCTGTGATCTCGTCCACCCATGTAAGCAATAAAAAAAATAAAAATAAAAATTTGGTCACTGCCCTGCATGTTACACACATAGAAATCGCCTGACGCGCGGGTACACGATTTCAAAGGAATGCATGATTTTGGGTACTTCCATAAATTCAAATTCGATGTTTAATTACAAATGAATACTGCTGTCAGTAATCTGTTTTTGAGCAATAATTTATTAACTATCGACTTCGAAAACGCTCTGCAAACATTCTGTATGACTAACATTGAATTAATGTTGAGAATTTTTCATGTACTAGTGGTCCCGCAGTAGTCGAAATTCGACTATAATTAATTGTGATTGTAAGCTTGTACACTATTATGATTCTATTTTCAAAGACTATATATTATATTATTATTATACTTCTATAATCACAAATTTCGCCAAAACTACACTATAACAAATATTAATAAAGACAAACAATATTTAATCTATTCTCAATTTGACAACAGACGTCAAGAACAAAAGTTTGAAAATAAATAGTATGCATGCGTGTGTGCGTCAAATACATGGTAGTGTGTGTAATGTTATTTTTATTGATTTAATGTATTTTTTTGGGTATAATTTAAAAAATATTAACATTCTGCACTCCTTCTCTATATACTCTATAAGTGTGGGAAATTTCATACTCCTCCGTCCGCGCAATTTGCGTAAAAAGGGATACAAAGTTTTTGAAGTCAAACTTCTTTAGGCGTATGATGGTAAAATTTTTACAGAACGTCACGCAGGTATGCAACGGAAGTGACATCAAACTAATATTTTATAATTTTTTTGTGAAAAATGTTAATAGGAATTGAAATGAAATGAAAAGAATTTGGAACATTAATCAAATAGCATTAAATTAAATTAGTCAATTCAATTGGCAAAATATTAGTCATTTACAATTTAGAAATCTAAACATAATGTGACTGTCAATATTGAGGTTTGAGATTGACATTTGACAGACTTTTGGCGGGAACATATCTTCCTTTTTCCCTTCCTCTAAGTCTCGGAAATCTAAAGTTTTAGATTTGTATAAATATAAGCAAGACTTATAAATTAGTTCGCCTAAAAAGTTTCACTTCTGACATGTGTACTTTGTACGCACGCACTTTTTTTTCTTCACGTATTAATAGATTGAGGATAAATTACCATTGTTATAATTGAGGAAAGCGTTAAATTAATATCGAATATTCGAACAAACGATCCAATCGAATCATGCGATAGTTTCCACTACAACATTAGCATTACCATTTAAAATGAGTTAAAATGTAATTAAGAAGTATGAGTTGACTAAATGTGGTATTTATTTTATTTCCATGGAGACCAGATCATTAGGAAATCAATATAGCACTCGATCGAAGAGTAAATCACGGTAATTATATTTGCAACGTTTAATTAATTCACATCGTTGCCCATTAAGAATATGTAAGCCACAGCCAAATCTCACATAGATATTAAGGTCTCAAAAATCCTGAATATTATTAAGATTTATAGTTGAAATCTAATTGGGTGTGTTTGTAAAAGTAGATGATCAAAATGATTTTTACACTATTGTTTTTGGAATTTTCAATATATTTAATTAATAGTGAACAAGGAAAACAAATTAATTGTTGATTTCGAAATAGAATTCAATACGAAAATAAGAACATACAATAATAGCAGATGCGTAAATAATATGCCGCTATATACATAAGGATCGAAACATATGTAGGTACTCATTCCGAAAAAGTGTAATGTCAATTAAAAATAACTAGTAGTAGGTAGGTAACTAGGAATTGTAAGTTTGTACACTATTATGATTGTATTTTATACTTCTATAATCACAAATTTCGCCAAGACTACCCTAAAAAAAATATTAACAAAGACAAACAATATTTAATCTCAATTTGACAACAGACGTCAAGAACAAAAGTTGGACAATAAATAGTATGCATGCGTATGTGCGTCAAATACATGGTATGTAGTGTGTGTAATGTTTTCTTTATTGATTTAATGTATCTTTTATGCATTATTTTAAAAAAATATTAGCATTGTGCACTTCTTCTCTATATTCTGTATAAGTGTGGAAAATTTCATACTCCTCCGTCCGCGCAATTTTCGTAAAAAGGGATACAAGGTTTTTCTTTGCGTACTAATATATAGATACTGTAATACTCGTAAACCGGAGTGTCAAGAATTGAATGAACAACAGTTTTTTTTTTAAATTAATAGCATTCTTCATTTAAATTCAATTTGAAAACTGTAAATCAACCACCCAAACTTTAAGCGTCAACATTATCGATTTAATTGTGAATGAATTCAAAGCGCGACTTCTAAATAAATAAATAAAAACGAACACCTATGTACAAGAGTTTTAAAATCTTTTTTTTTTTAACGCACTAAAAGAGGTGGTTCCTAAACGTTTTAAGAGAACCTGTAAACAAGGCACAAAGAGACATTGAAAGACAGAACGGGTCGTTTCCGACCTCAATCTAGAAGTAAGATAAATCAAAGTATAACGCTAAATCATTCGCTTCCATCATAAAATGCAAAGCCTCACATAATAAAATTAAACCGTATGTTCTCTTTTTTGGGTTTACGTAATCGCATAAAAAATAGAAACAGAAAGAAAGAGAGAGAGAAAGAGAGAAAGAGAGAGAGGGGGAGAGAGAAAGAGAAAGAGTGATAGAGAGCAAGAGAGAGAGAGAGAGCATGCTTTATTGTACACAAAAAATTGCAAAATATTAAATACAAAAAAAGAATTGTACAAAAAATAAAAAATAATGAGAGAATAGATCATAAGCCGAAGAATTGGTCAACTCAAATGGCAGAGGGTAGGTAAGCCGCACTAAAACAACAGAAATATTCTAAAAACTCCTGTTACAGGTGTATTCAGAAAACCCTCATCACTTTAACCGCACGATCATACAGCGCGGCTGGTGCGTCAGCAGTCGCAGCCTAAGAACCGAAGGCGAACCAGTGCGCAGATTCACGAAATGCGGTCAAGATTGGGCCCGCTCCCGGGGGATGAACGCTCGCCTGCTAAAACTCGAATATTGCCGAACTCACGATGAAGCAAAAACTCCGAACGCTTCGGACCTGCCAGAAAGAGTGTTCCTCTGTGCAATTATCTGTATTCTAATCTTCAACGTCATCGGAACGGCCTACGATTTATGGAAAGGAAACGAAGAAAATAGTGAGTTGTTCAGTTATTTAAGCTTTGCCATTAATGCACCCGGTTACGATCTTTAATCGCTAATATTATAATGCAAGTTCAATTCTTAAATGATGCGGATTTAACGAATCGCGACTGGGTCGTAGTTGCGACCGATCGCTACACTACACGAGCCCACTGAGTTTCTCGCCGAATCTTCTCAGTAGGTCGCGTTCCCGATCCGGTGGTAGATTCTGCGAAGTACGGCTCTTGCTAGGGTTCGTGTTAGCAACGTCGTCAGGCTTGAGCCCCGTGTGCTCACCTACATGTTAGGGCAAAGCTGAAGTAGCCTCCTCGCAAGACTATCAACATTGGTAGAAAATAATAATAAAAAAAAAAAATTAAAGATATTATCTATATCTATAGTACACCGCAACATACCTGCTATATTTTTTTATATTTTCCAGAATTTCTATAAATTAAACGGTTGTCTGGAAGAGATCGCTTTTAGCGATAAGACCGCCTATTGTACAAATGTATCTGCTTTTTTTGATTGTTTTTTGAATGTAAATTGTATTTTGATGTGCAATAAAGTGTATTCTCTCTCTCTCTCTCTCTAAAGAAAAATTTAAAAAAACTACACCTCATATCAAAGCATTTTCTCTCCTGAAATTCTCGTAAAATCTAATTTTCTCATCTGAAACATACACATCAAACCGGATACCAATTTAAAATTACGTCTTGACCATAACAATGTATCCGTGAACGCTTTCACGACGAATACGATAATTCAAATTTATCACTTGTGGTATAATATACCCTTTTGTCATCTTTCACGGTTGGATGCCACTATAGTACTTATAACACAATTAAGACAGCTCCCTCACAGCTTATTCCGAGTACATAGTGGTCTCTCGCATCATATTCAGCCCTGAATCGTCCACTGCTGGCCTCGCCCAATCTTCACCACGAAGCCCGATCCTGGGCTCTCTTCATCCATTGCGCGCATCCATCCTCTGTGTGCACCGATAATTACTTAATACCAATAAAAAAACCCGGGTCACCAAGTAACTGACTAAGCAAAAAGACAACCAAACAAATCCTAATGCGTGAATTTTGCACCCGCAAAACTTACTTGATACTAAACTTAACTGAAATCTTCAAGTCGGAACGATTCGTCCAAAATCGCAATAACCGAAGTGTGCTGTTATTATTATAAAAAAAATATCTTAACTCTTTATTTATTTATCAGAAAACAAAATTCTAATGGCGTGGTCTATACCCAGCAACTGGTCGCGCTTGACATCGTCCTTGTCGAATGAAGATCCTCGACTTTCATGCTTAGCGCCGTTTCAGGGAGCAAGGTAAAAAGATAAATCGGTTTATTTGTTTTGAAACGTGGTCTGTTGTGTAATACAGCTGACTTATTCGATGCTCGGATTCAAATCATATGAAAAATACCAATATTTCTTCAGAAACCTTGCACGCTCACAAACGGCTTGCAGTTTGTAAGAATCACAGAGTAAATTATAAAATATTTGCCGCCAAAATCTTTAAATTGAAGCCGCGATGTTGTCCTCCAAAACCGGACAAGCCATAATTTAAAAATGAAAAGCCTTTGTAAAAAAAATTAAAAAATTAAACCATATATATATAAATGTGTCAAACGTCTTAATAGGAGATTTAGATCGTGTGGTATAAAAAAAATTCTCTGTTTTCTCTGTCCAAGCAGGGAGATGGAGATTCCTTTGTGTGGAAATTACATACCCGAAACCGACTATCGAACGACAAACACTCGCCATCGCCCTAAGCACGTCATTTCGGATCCTCCCGATCCACTTTTGGTGCTTTTCATTCCCAGCACTGGTCACTATTCTCGCCAAATCCATCGAATGCGACGAAGGGTTTGTCGTGCAACTTAACCCACAGACAGAGACAGACAGAGAGCCCACTGAGTTTCTCACCGGATCCTCTCAGTTGGTCGGGATTCCGATCAGGTGATAGGTTCAACAAAGCACTGCTGTTGATAGGGCAGATGTTAGCAAAGTCTCCCAGGCTGAGCCTCGTGAGCTGGCCTACATTTTCAGTGAAGCTATGATAACTCCTCCAGATTACTATACAGAAGCAGGTCGGAATAAAATGTTTGCATGGACTAAACGCAGACCGCAATTCCTCTTGCAGCAATTCAAGAATCGTTATTCAGTTAAGCTTTTTACTAACATTCCAGAGTCATCGTAATGGCCTTGGTGCTGTGGGGTCATGTGTTTTTCTCACACGCGTTGGTGTATCTGCAGAACCCACGAGATTACGAAAAAGTAAGTTCACGTTCATAAAACGTATAAAACGTGTGCTTGTCTTCCTATTTTACACTAGATATTTTAAAACAAACCTCAAACGAATTTTAATCAACATGTCAATATCGTCTAAAAGTCGCAAAAAGGTTAAGGTGTAGATAGTATCGTTTACTATAGATAATTTTCTCAGTTGAAAATATCAAAGAGATTGTAGATCACAGCTACTGATGAGCTTAACAAATTTTGAGAGGTATTTCTACACTACAAAACACTTATTTTGTTCTTTTCAATATTTTCTTCGAAGGCAAATGACTAAAACGACCATACGTCTCAATGGTCACCGACGCTCAGACATCAGTAATGCCAGGGGCACAGCCATCTATACCCTACTTACCTACTCGGGACTCTTTTAAAACCTCCAAGTACCTACTGAACGTGGTTTTTTCAACAAGCATTTTCTGTTTGCCATCAGCCATTGATGATTTCTCGAAATTACTCTTCGTGCTTTCACAGACAACCTTCCGAATCCTACTTAACTCTTAATCTGTTCAACTGTTTTCATTACAGTCTCTCCACGGCGTTATTGGCACACTGGTTTATAATGGGACATCCATAGTGCAGATGTTCGTTATTTTTTCAAACTTCCTCTGCGCATACAATCTACTATTGCCGTCAAATAAAAAACCGCTCACGCTAAGCATGTTCCCGAAGCAAATCGTCAAGAGATATAGCAGGTAACAATGTTTACAATTGGCGTTTTGGGACGCTTTGTAGCGAAACTATCCTCGCCGAACCTGTCGCTTGCGACGAAGGGCTCGGCGAGTAAATGAACCCATAGACACAGCCCATTGAGTTTCTCGCCGGATCTTCTCAGTGGGTCGCGTTTCCGATCCGGTGGTAGATTCTGCGAATCACTGCTCTTGCTAGGGCCAATGCTAGCAACACCTCCGGTTTGAGCCCCGAGAGCTCACCTACACGCTAGGGTAACGCTGATATAGCCTCTCAAACTATTAGTAAAGATAGGAACAAAAAAAAGCCAAACTAATTCGGACTGCCAAATAAATTCAGCCAAATGTACTATGGACACTCACAGTACGGTTGGTCCGTCAGCTCAAGGTCGCTCAGCGAGCCATGGAAAGAGCCATGCTCGGAGTTTCTCTGAAGGACAAAATCCGGAATGAGGTTGTTCGACAGAGGACTAAAGTCATCGACATAGCTCAAAGAGTCAGCAAGCTGAAGTGGCAGTGGGCTGGCCATATATGCCGTAGGATTGACGATCGCTGGAGCAGATGGGTTCTCGAGTGAAGAGCGCACAGCGGAAGACGTAACGTGGGACGCCCCCTGACTAGGTGGTGCGATGACCTCCGAACCGTGGCCGGCAAGAAGTGGATGGAGAGCCGTAGACCGGGCTCAGTGGTGTGGATTGGGAGAGGCCTATGTCCAGCAGTGGACGACTGTGGGCTGTTGATGATGAAACTAATTCGATCCTTTTGTTCTTTAGAATAACTCCTATGAACTTGCTCCTGGTGGGCTACGGAGCCACGTGGTGGGTTCATAGCCGCGACGGTGCAATATGGCCGGTCCTAGTTGGAAACGAGAAGATTTTTTGCGAACAAAAGTTCTGGTCTCATGCGCTGTACATCAATAACTTTTACATGCCTGAAAACGTTTGTTTCATACAGACATGGTAAGCGAACTGTTCTGCCTATTTTTTTTTTGTTATAGCCCCGAGTTTACTAGTGGTAGGACCTCTTGAGAGTCCGCGCGGGTAGGTACCACACCCTGCTTATTTCTGCCGTGAAGCAGTAATGCGTTTCGGTTTGAAGGGTGGGGCAGCCGTTGTAGCTATACCTGAGACCTTAGAACTTATGTCTCAAGGTGGGTGGCGCATTTACGTTGTAGATGTCTATGGGCTCCAGTAACCACTTAACACCAGGTGGGCTGTGAGCTCGGCCACCCATATAAGCAATAAAAAAAAAGAGTAAAATTATTATAAAATTACTGTTACATTTTTAAATTCCAAGTTGAAAGAAGTTAATTTAATTATAAAAAAATATATTAAATACATGAGTGAACCACTTATTTTGACCCTTAGTGGACGATACGCAGACGGCCCCCCACTCTTTTGTCGGGAGCTCACGACTCATGCCGATTATTATACCATCCCGCAGTTTTACTAGAGCAAACACAGGATAGGTACATAACTATATACCTTTACACAGGAAGAAGGAGCATAGCCCATATACCCAAACAGCCAAACTCCCACCGTAGACCCAAAGGTTTCAAATGATCCGCGTAAACGGGATTAGCGACGAACACTTATGGACGTATAAGCCTATATTTTTAGTGTCGTTTTGTTGTGTCACCGAGTTTCTAATCACAGTGGTGCTAGTGAGTTTTACAGTCCAAAAATATAAAAACCTATAGCGTTTACCATGTTAGATCCAATTATAAAGTACCTCAGTACTGTCTCTTCTTCTTCCTAGAGTTTTCCCGGTCTTAGTGTCAATGTCCGCTTTCTTACTCCTCCACTTTGCCCGGTCTTCGGCATCCGTCTGGGTGAGGTTATCCTCCATATCCGCCTTTACCACATCCAAACAGCGTTTCTGGGGTTTGCAGCGAGATCTTGGACCTGGTATATAGCATTTGAGGCATTTATTTCCGACATAGCCTGGAGGCCTGGGTCTTATGTGGCCGTGCCATCGGAGACGACTTTCCTGCAGCTTATCTGCTACGTCACGAACTCCAACGCTATTAATTTAAGTTAAAGTACTGAGTGAATCCTTCAAACATAAAATCATTTCAAATATACAATGAATAATACAACGAACATACTATCTATTCCAATCCGCATTTCTATAACAAACAGAACGAAATATAACAGAATGAAATTTTTGAAAAGTTGAAAATAAAATATTGAAAAAATTTAAATTCATCTAAAAAATGAAAAATAAATAATAGTTTAAAAAAAACAAAAAAAATACGCCTTTATAGAAAATCCAACTAAAAAATAGAAAATAAATTTTAAAAAATTTGTAAAAAAACCGTGGGATACTTTTCAGGATATTACCAAAATAATCCTTCTACTGATCATAAAAATTTTATAACTATTGATACCATGCACCCCATCAGATAGTTTTGAAGGGGATCAAAATCATGTTCAAAGATTCCGTTACATACTAACGTATACGTATGAAGCTAATTCTGCACTGGTGGTAGGACCTCTTGTGAGTCCGCACGGGTAGGTACCACTACCCTGCCTATTTCTGCCGTGAAGCAGTAATGCGTTTCGGTTTGAAGGGTGGGGCAGCCGTTGTAACTATACTGAGACCTTAGAACTGATATCTCAAGGTGGGTGGCGCATTTACGTTGTAGATGTCTATAGATGGGCTTCAGTAGCCACTTAACACCAGAAGGGCTGTGAGCTCGTCCACCCATCTAAGCAATAAAATTTTTTTATAATAATAATAATAATAACAACAATGAGTCAGTAAAACTGTACTGGGACCGAGACATCATTACCGACAAAACCACGAAATATAATAGACCGGATATTACACTAACACTAAAAGATAGAAAAATTACATACTTAAGAGATATTGCAATACCTAATTCTGAAAATATAAGGAAAAAATACACTGAGAAAATACAAAAATATATACCACTAGCAGATGAAATACGACAAATGTGGCATCAACACACCGTTAAAATTATACCCATAATAATTTCATCAACCGGACTCATTCCAAAATCATTACACACATCGCTCTCAGAACTTGATCTTAATAAATATTCATACATCGCTTTACAAAAATCTGTAATAATCGACACCTGTTCCATAGTGCGACGATACCTTACATCCACTACTCAAACCCCTACAACACTACACAATGAACCAACTCACTTGGCGTAAGTCCGTGCTAGGTTCACACTTACCAGCATTAGCTGAGAAAAAAAAATATCCATAACCCATAATAATAATAATAAAAGCGTATTAAAAATTGACCTAAAATTTCAAATTAATCTAAAACATTCGTTTCATTACTTTCACTAATAACATTATCAAGATCATTACCTTATCATGTTCGAAATCTATCGATAAGGCTCTGTCAGATGACGACATTAGCACGTTCCGCTTCCAATGTTTGGACACGGATCACGTCTGATTTATGCATTGTTAATGTCATTACAAGTTCAGTGTTATGATATCATAGCGACATCTTTCGGCATAGAGAAGGTATCTGACCTCAAAAAGATGCATCGTGCTCAAAATAAATTCTATTGATCTTCCATCGAAACTTCACGAATAGGACCGTACCATGATCTTCCTAGGATCAACATAAAAGGGATTTTGTACAGCATCGCAGTGTCCCAAAATCTTACATTTGCTGGTGGCTGACTGTCCTTTAAACACGCGCGGGTAAATACCATCATTATGCCCGTTTATACTGAGAATTGTTTTGCGTTCATTTTTTTTTTTTTTTTGTTGCCTAGATGTGTGGACGAGCTCACAGCCCACCTAGTGTTAAGTGGTTACTGGAGCCCATAGACATCTACAACGTAAATGCGCCACACACCTTGAGATACAGTTCTAAGGTCTCAGTATTGTCACAACGGCTGCCCCACCCTTCAAACCGAAACGCATTACTGCTTCACGGCAGAAATAGGCGGAGCGGTGGTACCTACCCGTGCGGACTCACAAGATGTCCTACCACCAGTAATTACGCAAATTATCATTTTGCGGGTTTCATTTTTATTACACGATGTTATTCCTTCACCGTGGAAATCAATCGTGAACATTTGTTGAGTACGTATTTCATTAGAAAAATTGGTACCCGCCTGCGGGATTCGAACACCGGTGCATCGCTCAACACGAATGCACCGGACGTCTTATCCGTTAGGCCACGACGACTTCAGAATGCTAATGTTCATGCTAATGACGTCTCTTTGTCAAAAGCCTAATGCACCCAATGTACCTATTACGAACCATATGACAGTTCCGGGCTGTGCTTTGGCTAGATAATACAAAGCAACCCTCCAGAAACCCGAAAATATGAGAAAAAAGACGATTCAAGTTCAAACTTTGGGCTGGAACTACATAGACCTTTTTTTTTGGTCAGGAGGAAATCGCCGGACTTCGTCGAACCGACTAAAACCTCCTGTCACTCAACAACAAACGTCCAAACCTTGCATGAGACAGGATTCATGAAAAAGCAAAGGGAGGAAAGTGAAGTGCTTAGTGCGGAGCACATCTCTCCCATCACTCTCCCCCTCGGGACGCCAGATCGGCGGTCGTCGGCGCCACGACTACCAGCCTTCTCGGTCGACAGGCTATCCGAAACCGGCCTAGATGGCGCCGGTTAGAGTGACTTATCTTACGGAATATCCCGCTGGGTCAGAACCAGCGTGGGTTGAGGATAGCCGGCCTTACATCACCCGGATGCTATTTCGTAAAACGCGTTCAAAGCAGCTTACACGTCGTCTTCTTAGAACCCCTTCGCCGGTCCCCAGACCGACATTTGAGGAGGACCCGAAACACTTAAGGGCCAGGGCTTGGGCGAAATCCGCCTCCCCGGCCCCCGCTCGACGGCGGCGGGCTTGTGCGTCTCTGACGCGCCCCGCCGCCTCCTTCTGCGAGATATTGCACTCGCAGCAGTCGAGCATCGCCTTCCACGACTCGTCGTCGCCGAGCATCGATGCCACAACACTCGGCAACAACAAATCGTTTCCTATTTTTTGCGACGAGAACACGGCGCCACCCCTCCCATGCGGGGCAGGCGATGAGCGTATGTTCTGCCGTGTTCGAGTCGCAACCACAATGGTGAACCACATAGACCTACGATATTTAACAGCGAAGTTACGATTGAAAAGATACTCCGTCACATTCTGCTATCTATATAATAAACTCATCATTGTTTCAGGTTCTTAGCGGTTGACATGCAGCTCCATATCCTAGCTCTCATTCTGACTTTGTGTCTGGCCAAGCACCGACGCCATGCCCTACGCATCCTCGGAAGCCTGTTCGTACTATCCTGTGCTGGTCTAAGTTTAATGGTGTACTTAAATAACTACTCGACGTTATTACAAATCGCTGAACCTGAGTAAGTTAAGAATATGTTTTTAATCATCAAATAAACTGGTACAGGCTATGACCGTGGTCACTGCGTAATATACATTTATAATACATATATTCTCTGCATTACGAATACTATGAAAGTCTACCCAAAAACAAAAGACACGTCCTTTTGGTACGTGGGAAAAATAATCTTTGGAAGAAAAGTATTAGTATTGAGCTCTGTTCTAGTGGTGACTTCTTAAATAATTACTTAATAGGGTATATACCTACTGGCCATACGTTAAGACAAAGAGAACCAAAGACGTCCGTGAGTTCAGAAGTTGAGGCAATTCGAACTTTTCTGTATGGAGTAAAATGTAGGTAGCTGGTAACTGAGAGTATTGTGCTAAAGATGAGAGCAGCACTGTAAGCGAAGAGTGTTCTACAAAAAATTTAATCTTGTTCAAAAGTGAAGTACCATTTGTTGGCCTGCTTAGGCCTTACAAGTATTTTGAATTCATCGTTTCTTTACCTTCCAAATTACTCATTCCAACTATCCTTTAGGTCCTGTATAATAACTTCCGATGGTGGCAGCAATTACTCCTTAGAATTTCGGTGCCGTAACAAACGGGTCTTCCTACGCAATTGACTGTATTCGATAAGATGATAAGATAAAGGCTGACGATGATGATGATGATGATAAGATGAACTGAATGAAATTTGTTTCAACCAATCAACTGATCAATGCTTATGATTCATTAACATATCTTAACCATTAATTACATTCATATTTCAGTAATGCACGCACGATGCTCCGTAATAAGCCGTCGTTTTACGAAATGTACGTGAATCCATTTAACTCGCTACCAGCTTGCCTGATGGGTTTGTTTCTGGCTCATCTACTTTACGAATTACAAGAGAACGGATATAAATTTCACGAATGCAAAGTAAGTACCTACTAGATTTTAGAAGCACTTTAATAATCCGAAAACGTCCAGTGACCAGCCCAAAAAGAAGAAGAACTAAAATCCCCAAACTAAATTATTCTAGGTCTTGATGTGACCAATTTTTTTAACGCAAATTTTTTTTTTTCTGTTTCAGTGGCTGAAGTACTCTCACGCTTTGATGATACCGCTGTACATTTTATGGCTGTTTTGCGGGATTTATTTCAGAGAACTAAAATCTAATATAGACACAGCTCTATTCATTGGATTGGATCGACTGTTATTCTGTTCAATATTCGCAGTAAAACTAATGGGATTTACGACAATTCAATGTAGGTTTTCAACAAGTTTACTTGTAAATGATAATTTTATTTTATCCAGATTTCCCAACCTTCATACCGGAACAGAGGATTGCTTTGCAGCACAAATAGGCTTGATAGTTTTATCTACACTTGCGAGCTTTCTATATCATTATTCTATTTTCTAATTTTGGGATCTTCTTCCGTTTTGAACGTATTTCGTGAATACTTGTCAAGCACCTGTTTCCTTAGAAAGATGTATGGTATCTGTCTGCTGGATTTGAACACGGTCAGAGTCGCATCGTTCAATACGAATGCACCGGCCGTCTAATCCTTTAGGACGCGACGACTATCATTCTATTTAAAATGATATTTAGTGCTTAAATTAGCTGACAAACAACAATGACATGACGTTTATATATTGCATGTTCTTTTTTTATTGCTTAGATGGGTGGACGAGCTCACGGCCCACCTGATGTTAAGAAGTTAACGGAGCCCATAGACATCTACAACGTAAATGCGTCCCCCACCTTGAAACATAAGTTCTAAGGTCTCAGTATAGTTACAACGGCTGCCCCGCCCTTCAAACCGAAACGCAATACTGCTTCACGGCAAAAATAGGCAGGGTGGTGGTACCTACCCGTGTGGACTCACAATAAGTCCTACCACCAGTAAGATTTGTCTTCTTGAAAAGAGGAAGTTTTCAATTTGCGTCTTATAATTTTCTCTCATGAATTCTTTTTACACCCAGCCCGGGCACGCAAATTCTTTTCATGGCGCGGCTGGGACGTATTCGCCAGGATGTCTCTGTCCGTCATGATGATTCACTGGGTGGTCAACGTGACCATTGTAGCAGCCAGACCTACACGGACCTTCACTAGTTTTATAGACGTGGTAAGCTTATAACAACACAACAAAACTATCTATCTACACACTATGCAGGATGTAATGTTTGCGAGAATGAAGTCATCAACAACAACACTAACAGCTATCGATATTTTTTTTTATTACTTTGATGGGTAAACGAGCCCACCTGGTCTTAAGTGGTTACTGGAGCCCATAGACATCTACAACGTAAATGCGCCACCTACCTTGAGATATAAGTTCTAAGGTCTCAATATAGTTACAACGGCTACCCCACCCTTCAAACCGAAACGCATTACTGCTTCACGGCAGAAATAGGCAGGGTGTTGGTACCTACCCGTGCGGACTCACAAGAGGTCCTACCACTAGTAATTGATGTTTTACTAAACGCATATGTTTACATTATAGTTTACAAATTATAGTTTACAATACAGGGTGTGAGAAAACCGATTAGAAGCCAAAAAGTCAACTTTCATTGACTTAACCGAATGTCGGCTTATGAACGCGGTGTAATTATTTCGCGCGCGGTGTAAATAATTATTTTAATAATTATTAAATGGCTATACCATGTTTTTGGATTACAACACTATCGAGAGAGAGATAGAGAAAGAGAGAGAGAGACTTAAAAACGACTCCAGAGTGAAATAAATAATTACAACGCGTTCATAAGCCGACATTCTATTAAGTCAATGAAAGTTGACTTTTTGGCTTCTATTTAATTAATAATTATTCTATTTAATAAATAATATTTAATTAATTATTTTCAGTCCATAGACGCGGCAGCAACGATAGTGTTTACTTACATCATGGCTGCGCCAGCGACGATCCTGGTGGAAATGCCGATGCAACGATTTCTTGATAACTTCACGCGATGAAATACAGTGAACTGTGTAGCCTTGTGTATTTAGTGTATAGGATCCGAGTCACACGGACTGTTCGACTGGTGTGAAAATAAAAAAAACAAGCTCTCACATTACGCGCCGAGACGAGATGAAAGCACTAATTCTAGCGAAGATTAAGCACGGGTATAGGTTATAAAATTGCCCATTGTGAACTGACCTTTCAATCAGGTGAAAATTGTTCACAGAATAAGCACAACATAAACAAATTTATCATTACGGATGTATGACAATGATTCGATTGGTTCGCCTTTGAATTTTGCTGGATTAAAATTCACGTGACGTATAGTGGTGGTTGTAGAATTGTGCTTGCGTAGCTGGAATAGCATCTTAATCTACCAGCGAATAGATTGAAAAAAAAAATGTACTTGCTTTTTATCTTTGATGCATAATTGAGGCCGTCAGCGCAAAAGTGGCCTAACCCACAATTTTTCATAACCATGCTTATAATTGTATGGCCTATGTCCAACAGTGGGCAGATAAAGGCTGATGATGATGATGATGATGCTTATAATTATGTATATTGCAATTTATTTAAAATAATGTAATAAATGATGCAAAACAGTCCTATCCATAGTTTCACCGGCCTATCCATAGTTAGATAACAGATGGCTTTGTAAACATTATTTTTGCGCGTATTGTTTTTTTGGCCTACTCAAATTCAAATTCATGAAAACTTAAACCTAATTGCTAGCGTAATAACTATGGTAAGCTTAGGCCACTTTTGCGCTGACGGCCTCAATTAATATAGTGTTAAATGTAGTAGAAAAAAATGTAGATAACAATATAAGTAAAGTTGGAGAATTTTGCATAGATATGTACGTTTCGATTGTGGACCCCTTTTTGCAGTCATATAGGAAGACAATCTTGAAAAATTGACAGTAACTGTCAAGATTGCAGGCAAAGGTCTCGTGGCCGCAATCCAATGCGCTGATGCGACCAAATCCGCACATAATGCGTCCATGCAAAATAGGTAAATATAGTTTAAAAGCTTAATAAAACCGCTGTTTTATGATCCATGTAGGCAGACGAGCTTGCGGCCAATCTGGTGGTGAGTGGTTACCGTCGCCCATGGACGTCAGCCAATGCTAGGGGCAAAGACAAGCTATTGCCAACCTTAAATAGCAAACCGAACTAGAAATAATTATTTTATCATAAGACCAAAGTAATAAAATAAGTATTATTATCGATCCTTCATACGTATGCATTTTTTTAACTGTCCAACTTGAAGTTTGTGAAGATTACTTTGAAATACCCTGTTACATAGATAGATAACATATCATATAAATAAATAATGTTAGTTCGGCTCAATATTTTATTTTATAAACTACGATCATTTGGAAATCATTTATTTAAGTAACTGACTTGAAAATTATGATCTAGAGGCCGTGACCTTAACGTAAAGACAAAAAAAAAAGTAATCATTTAAAAGCGATATCTGTGCGGAGACAAATGATTCATTTACTACGTCATTCAGTGTGCTTAGTGCGAGTTTCTTAACGTTCTCGACAGCGTAAAAGTTAAGCCAATTTTGTATGCAATTGGAACAGCGCCCCTAGCGGCAAACGCAGGCAAACGTTTTAACTCCATACAAACATGAGCTAACTTTCACGCTATCGAGAACGTTCAAAAACTCGCACTAAGCGCTCTGAATCCAAGAGTGGCTGTATTTAAAGGGAGTCAGTCTTATTAGTTCGAAGCGGGGAGCGTTTTATTGACGATTTTATTAATTTTATTTTTCATTTACAGTAACACATACACAGGTGTTTGTAATAAACCAGTAAAATAATATAAAACGTCTTAAAACAACCTATTAATAATGTTTATTTTAATACAGAATAACGAATTAAACAATGACTTGAATAATTCATATCATATCATACTGCTGTAATGTACACAATAATATGTAATGTAAATACGCTATTATTTAAAAAGATGTTTTTAGTATTTAGTTACCTCATATTAATTAATGTTTGTGATAATAATTCATATTTTAGACATAAATTAGAACTGACTGGATAAGAATGAATTTCATTAAATAATAAAGAAGTAATTTTATAATCAGATTTGTTTGTTACTGGTCTAAAAAACCTATACCTAAACATATTATGTTGGTCTTCAAATGCCATAGACAAACACCGCTTCAGCTGTGATTACGTCATCTTAATATTTGCTTTATTGCAATCCTTGGCAGACGAGACCCTTTTTTGTTTGCTTAGGTGGATGTAGGATCTCACGGCCCACCTGATGTTAAGAGGTAAATGGAGCTCATAGACATTGTAGATGTCTATGGACTCTAGTAACCACTTAACACCAGGTGGATCGTGAGATCGTCCACACGATTATTACTGGTGGTAGGACCTCTTGTGAGTCCGCAGGGGTAGGTACCACCAACCCGCCTATTTCTACCGTGAAGCAGTAATGCGTTTCAGCTTGAAGGGTGGGACAGCCGTTGTAACTATACTGAGACCTTAGAACTGATATCTCAAGGTGGGTGGCGCATTTTCGTTGTAGATGTCTATGGGCTCCAGTAACCACTTAATACCAGGTGGGCTGTGAGCTCGTCCACCCAACTAGGCAATAAAATAAATTAAATAGAGTACGGGCAGCGTTAACTATGAAAATAACTATTAGGCTTTTTTGCTTATTTTTTGGGTACTTACAAGGGGAAAAGCCTCCGCATTTTGTGATAGATTTCCTTTGCTCCCATATCCAACTGATTGATTGCCTACCTTTGCTCCCATATCTAACTGATTGATTGCCTACCTTTGCTCTTGCTCCCATATCTAACTGATTGATTGCCTACCTTTTCTCCCATATCTAACTGATTGATTGCCTACCTTTGGTCCCATATCCAACTGATCCGACACTGGTTTGAAGAGTGGAACAGTCGTAATATCGAAGTACACCGTGTGGGCATATACGAAAAATCATATAACAACAACAACAATCGACTCTAATTCCATCCCAAAGACACTATTAATTTGGTCTTAAATAAAACAAACTAACACATCTTAAACACTATTTAATCAAAATCAAACTCTCACATACATTTTCACGTCATGAACAATAAACCAGGACAGTATCTATACTAATATATAAAACTACAGTGGTTTTTACGGATGTTCCGTTATAACTACTGAACCATGCATCCGATTGACTTAAAACTTAGTATCTACTTAATGAATAGGCTAATATTTATATGAGTGTTGGACTCCCTAATATTAATGACAATAAATAATAATGTTAATTTTAAATGCCCAGCAAAGCTGGCGAGTACGGGTGGTTTGTATATAAAATCAACGAAGAATAAAGTCAAAAGTCCTCTTCATCGGCAGCTCAACCAGTACAGTCAATAACAATGCCAGTGGATACGTGAAACAGACTGTGGTAACGCTAACCGGTAGCTGCAACATAAATCACACACTCTTTTGGACTTTCGAAGTTAATAGCTTTCATATAAACGCAACGAATTGTAATGGCACAGCTCTCAAATATTAAGTATATAATCTATGGGCACAACGCTCTAAGAACTCTTTAGGTCTTTAGGGACTTTTTGGCGGGAGCGCGAGGAGTGAAGTTGTGTGATTTGTTTTATTTTGTCTATTTAATGTTTCTTCGGGTTTAAATGTGTAATAACGGTGGTTTATTAACTATTTAATATCTGTGAAAGTGCACAAATGTCTGAAAATGAAACAAAGCTGCTGGATGTAACTTCCCGGGATCCTCCAAAAAGTCCACTGCAAAAATCTCAGTAAATGACCAACATTTTACTGAGATTATATTTCATCCTATATCATCTCATTTCATTTAATTTCATGCCAGTTGATTAATGTATCAAATTAATCACTCTGTATTATCATTTTTCATAAACATGAATATATAATTTAAAATAAAATATGACTGAAAGGTCTTAGTTACCAGGTCATAAAATCCCTTAAAAAAGAACTCTTTAACCTGACACAATAGTTTCGCGACATAAAAAGGCCGTATAGTTTTACGTATCCTTATATAATTTTAAAATTCTTTTCCTGCAGTATAGAAGGCACTAATGGCTTAGGAATTAAGTTTTTTTTATTTATTATGGACAAATGGATAGGGAATAGTTGTAGTAGCTCAAAGGAACCAAAACCCCGGGATTCTAATTAAGAGCCGTTCAAATTACCATCATTAAGATCCCTTCAAACTCAAACTCAATTACAACAGACATTGTAATTAGAATAGTATAAAAGAACTATATTTATTGTGAAAGACAAGGTTTATATGAAAAAAAGGAATGAATAAATAGGTTATTTTTATAGTATTTGCAGTAAAAACAATATGGTAACGCAAACAAGCCTAAAACATACACATAAATCGGCTTGCATCCACTAAGAGTAAATCTAATGGGTTGTTTTTTTATAATATCAATTAAGACATGCAAAAGAAAGCAAAACACATAATTATTTAACTTAAGAATTAAAGAATATATGTTAAGTGGTTACTGGAGCCCATAGACATCCACAACGTAAATGCGCCACCCACCTTGAGATACAAGTTCTAAGGTCTCAAGTATAGTTACAACGGCTGCCCCACCCTTCAAACCGAAACGCATTACTGCTTCACGGCAGAAAATAGGCAGGGTANGAAACGCATTACTGCTTCACGGCAGAAAATAGGCAGGGTAGTGGTACCCACCCGCGCGGACTCACAAGAGGTCCTACCACCAGTAATTACGCAAATTATAATTTTGCGGGTTTCATTTTGATTACACGATGTTACGATTACACGAGTCAATCGTGAACATTTGTTGAGTACGTATTTCATTAGAAAAATTGGTACCCGCCTGCGGGATTAGAACAGCGGTGCATCGCTTCAACACGAATGCACCGGACGTCTTATTCGTTAGGCCACGACGACACACTTTTGTTTAAGAGATTCGGTAAAAATAGCCGTTCAATCACGTGACAGCGAACACCAATCAGAGAGCGCCACGTCACGGCGTGCGAAACATGGCCGTTGACGTTTTACTGAACAAAAAAGTAGTATAGCTAATTATGATTTTGATATTATTTTTGATTTTCCGAAATACGAAATGATATTGCGCTCACCAAGTTAAAGACCGAGACCGCAACCGGCTGAGGCGATGGACCAATGATGAACAACGCTATGCACCAGTGTATCTGCATCACGGACAGAGAGAGCTGCGCCAACAGATGCCACCCTCGCCAGGCGAGTGCTTTAAAGCATATATCTGAAATTAATAAAACAATTCGAAACAATTATTTTTTGTTATCGTATCTACAGCTTAATAATATTATTGAAGTGAAACTTCTAATGCGACTTCCAACAAGGTAGCGTTAAACGTTTAACGCTCCTGGGGAGGGGGGATAGAAAGAGACAGAGCGAGAGTGAATACGTGGCACTCGAACGCATGCGCGTAGTATACCTGTTACAGGTCAGCGCGAGCGTTAGCAACGAGTAGCATCCAATATTTTAATAAAGTATTTAAAAAAAAGTTATGTTCATATAATTTATTTTTCTATCTATAATTTAAAATATATATAATATAAATGTTGAAGAGGTCGCATCTCATAAACACGGCATTCCCTATTGCAAGAGCAATCTGATTTAGGAATGAAAAATGAAGAAAACCACAATACTACACATCAAAATAGAAGTTTCACTTCATTCACGTGCACCAAGTTGCACGCGCACCCATTTTTATAATATCAATGAGCATTGCGTCTTAATTTTGTTCCTGCCACATACTCAAAAAATTTTTTAATGGTTGGATGGACTGACTCAGCGGTGCAGTACTTAGCGCCCCTGACTTGCGTCGAGGCTGTTGGGTTCGATATCGTGTGTTGAAAAGATTTATTTGCCCTATGTCTGGATGTCTATTATCTATACCTACATGTATATATTAAAACATATTTAACTATGTAAGTATGCTTTACAGTCTCTGGTACCCATAACACAGGGAATCCTAATTTTGTGCCATTTGATGGCAGATGACCGTGCGTGCTTTGTTCCCAGCTATTTATTTATTATTTATTCCCTCGCCGAACCCGTCGCTTGCAACGAAGGTCTCGACGAGTAAATTAACCCATAGACTATATAGATATAGCCCATAGATATAACCATAGATTTACTGGTGGTAGGACCTTTTGTGAGTCCGCACGGGTAGGCACCACCACCCTGTCTATTTCTGCCGTGAAGCAGTAATGCGTTTCGGTTTGAAGGGTGGGACAGCCGTTGTAACTATACTGAGACCTTAGAACTTATATCTCAAGTTGGGTGGCGCATTTACGTTGTTGATGTCTATGGGCTCCAGTAACACCAGGTGGGCTGTGAGCTCGTCCACCCACCTAAGCAATAAAAAACAATAACTCATAGACTCAGCCCACTGAGTTTCTCACGAATCTTCTCAGTGGGTCGCGTTTCCGATCCGGTGGTAGATTCTGCGAAGCACTGCTCTTGCTAGGGCCAGTGTTAGCAACACTTCCGGTTTGAGCCCCGAGAGCTTGTACTTCCAATTCTAAATTGAAAACGGTTGGAATCATCAATTAATAGAAGTTTTCTATTTAACTACTCACCATTTTTGAAGACTAATGCTATATACGCAAGGATGCACATAATCTGAAAGATAGATCTCTCCAGAGCCGCGTACGCTGCTACGAAGATCGGATGTCGGATATGCTGGAAGTAGTTACCCAGCATCAACCAGCCCACCATGATAGGTATACACAGAACGTAATATAAGCTGAGGAGCCGTCGCTGAAAAATCACGATTTTATCATTATTTTTTTACCCGATCAGAATCGCGACCCACTGAAAAGGTCTCGCGAGAAACTCAGTGAGCTGTGTCTATGGGTTAGTTCGCTCGTCGAACTCTTGGACGGACTCGAGGACGGTGACCGGTGCTTGAGGGTCCTAAAAGCACCGAGAATGAATCCGGGGTTCCGATAAGACATGTTTCGAGCGACGGCGGTTTTGCGTCGCCCCGTCGCGGTCAGATAAGTAATTAGCGGCGGCCACGATAGCCCACTGAGTTTCTCGCCGGATCTTTTCAGTGGGTCGCGTGTCCGATCCGGTGGTAGATTCTGCGAAGCACGACTCTTGCTAGGGTTCGTGCTAGCAACATCGTCAGGTTTGAGCTCCGTGAGCTCGCCTACTAGTTAAGGTTACGCTGGTGTGGTCCCTCTAGACCATCAACATAGGTAGAAAAAAAAGGTGGCCACGATAAGAGGGCTTAGAGGGTGGAAGAGCCATTGTACTACAGAACTGAGACTTAGAATTCATGCCTCGAAATGAGTAGCTACATTTACGTGGTTGATGTCTGTGTGCTCCGGTAACCACTTAACACTAGGAGGGCCGTGTGAGTTCCTTAACTCGTCTTAGCAATAAAAAAATATTTAATACTTAAACATTTGCAGGTGTATAAAAAGAAAAGTGATTTTCAAAAAATCGGTACACAATTCTTTTTTTTTTATTTAAAAATCTGGAACTAATGATTCAACTTCCTTTCGTTATTTTTTTGTGCAGTTTCATTCACTTTATAGTAAGTACGATCATCATTTTGCGTGGCGTAGCTAATGAAGCAACAATTTGTTGGATTGTTCATTTTTATTACACCTAGATGGCCAAAAAAATCTCCGCTCTCCTCTGTCACTGCTTCGTTGTAAAGTTGCTCCAAATTACAGACTTAGCACGATCTTAAAAACTATACCGAATGCGTTAGATATAAAAATAAACAACCTTGTATATGTTTCCAAAGGTTTCTCCCTTAGTAAAATGGACCAAATGTCCTATGATGAGCCCCACGAGACACGCTGGAAGGCTGCCCCAAGGCGACATGTAAAAGTGGCCCAATGATGGAATATCACGGAATATAGAGTTGATATTTCTGAAAGAAATAATCAAACTTGTACGACATGCTGAATAAATACTCTAGTCCAGGGTATGGAGGTTAAAAGTCAGGCGCACCATCTCAGTGTATTAAAAAGTGTCCGCTGAAAGAGAACCAATTAAGGTGGCATCATACTCGTAGTAGCAAGTGGAAGGATTTTAAAAACAGCGCCATAAACTACTACACTTCACTTCAACCCAGCACACTTCACTCTATTAAAAACTGCTATAGTGATATCATGTCCATTTTCTACACTTGTGCTATTTCGGTGAGTCTTCAAGTACATAGCTTGCGGTTTACAGTTGAACACTTTTTCAACTTGATGATACAAGATGTTGTTCCTTTACCTCTACCCTCCATATTCACGTACTAATTAATACATTATTTTTTATTGCTTGCAGAGGCAGACGCGGTTATGGCCCACTACCGCCCAAGGACATCACCAATACTAGACATACAGCCAAGTCATTGTGTATATAAATATTATATGTGTATCTTCCCTAAACGCAATGTGGATGAAGCATTCTCAATTTTGCAAAAACTTAAGTGGCTCCCAATCCGCCTTTGCATTAAGTCTCCTATTCAATATCCCACAAAGCGCAACTAAAGATGGTACGTGGCAAAACAAGTCTCTGGAAACGCACTGTGGATGGCCGCTGTGGCTCTAGGTAGTATGGATGAACTCTACTCCGATGGCGGGCGGTGCGATGGTAAAAACGATATGACGGTATCATCTCAAACAATTCCTCAGAGCACTCATGAAAAATACAGTACAAAATACAGAGGGATCCTAAGTCCCTCTACAGACCCAGAGGTTCCAAACGATCTGTGAATGAGATTATCGACAATCCGAACGGCTCTTTTCTGTATGGAATCAAATGGAAGTAGCTGGTATTTAGAAGTCCCGGCCCAGAGGTGGGAGCAGTACTCCACGCGAAGCCAGACCTGTGCTTTGTAAAGCAAAAGCCTTTGTCCAGGCGTGAAGTACCACTTCACTCTGTTGAGGAGTCCCAGCATTTTTGACGCCAATTTGACTTTGCCCTCCAAATAACTCCGAAATTGGACATCGCTGAAAATATCGAAACCAAGTATCCCAATACTCTTGGAAGGTTGAAGGGATACTCCTTGGAATTGCGGCATCATAACAAATAGGTCCTTCTTCGCAGTGAATGCGCAATCTTGTATCTTTAACCGGAACATTTCCTCCAATTCACTCCACTCGGAGACCCGTCCCAGAGAGCTCTCCACTTCAGACACAAGTTTAGATCGTCTCTCCTGCACCACGCTCCAAGAAAGACTTTGGCCGATATCCCCCATGCTGTCATCCGCATAGCAATCCATGCCATCAATCGATATTATGTCATTGATATAAAGGATGAAAATTCTGGGGAGAGCAGCGAGCCTTGTCGAACGCCAGCGTTAAGGGTCATGTTAGCAGAGCAGCAACCATCTACAACGACAGTGATGTGAGTAAGGTGTACAAGAAGATCGCCAGCTGAGCGACCATGACGGAAACCGTACTGTGTCGATCAGTGATCAGTTGATGGTCCTCAAGATAAATCAGAAGTTGCGTATTTATTATTTGCTCAATCACCTTGGAAAGTAAGAAAGTTATCGCGATAGGTCCATAACTCGAGGAGTCCATTTGATCACCATCCGGGTGTCCAGTTGGACTGTCGGGTGGACATGGGCAGTCTTCTATGAAGACGGCACCCTGTTAGTACTATACGAGGGGCGATAAAAACGCGTTAGCGCAGGTATTGGCTCAGGGGTGCATGTTTTCAAAACCACTGCAGGGGTGCAATCTGGCCCACTCGACTTATATGTCCAGGGTCCGCAGCTTCTGTCTGACTGCACACTGTGTAAAGCAGATCTCCGGCAGATAACTATCAAACCGGGGGATGTGGCACCCCCGCATCCATAGTTGAATTCGAGGCGAAGAGATTGACCAGAAGGTCAGCCTTTTCTTTCACACTATGAGCCAGGCTGTCATCGGACTTGCGTAGTGATGGNAAAAATAAAAAAAAAAAAAAAAAAAAAAAAAAAAAAAAAAAAAAAAAAAAAAAAAAAAAAAAAAAAAAAAAGGTATTGGCTCAGGGGCGCATGTTTTCAAAACCACTGCAGGGGTGCAATCTGGCCCACTCGACTTATATGTCCAGGGTCCGCAGCTTTTGTCTGACTGCACACTGTGTAAAGCAGATCTCCGGCAGATAACTATCAAACCGGGGGATGTGGCACCCCCGCATCCATAGTTGAATTCGAGGCGAAGAGATTGACCAGAAGGTCAGCCTTTTCTTTCACACTATGAGCCAGGCTGTCATCGGACTTCCGTAGTGATGGGAAAGTTTTCTTCTGCAGCTTTGGCAAAAAGCACAGCATCCGGAGGAATAGTTCTTAAGTTGCTCACCAATTCTGGAAACGTTCTCCGACTTCGCCTTGGCAATAGCTCTCCTGTAGGACCTGGAAGCGGTGTTATACTTCTGCCTTTCCTCTGAGACGTTCGGATCTCGACATCTCCTGGCATCGTTCCAGGCCGTGTATGGGGACTACTTGAGATGTGCAGCATCCCTACTGGCATTATTATACCAGGGTCTATTGCGCCCCCAACGGGCCCCTCAGAGAAGCGAATAAACAATTCCATTCCTGGAGCACCACGTCTTTAAGACGGTCCGCACAGACATACAGTCGATACTCAATTGTCGTTCGAAGACCAGGATGAGAGAGTTGTATAGCAGCACGGATAAGGCAGTGATCAGACGATCAAAGTGGAGAGTCGACCACCACGCTGCATCCGGCTGGATCGGTGGTCAGCCGAAAGTCCACCAGAGAAGGCTCGTGCCCCTCAATATCTGGGACACGGGTGAGCTGTGTCACCAGCTGGGCCGCCATGCCGTAGACCAAGTCGAAACCGTAGTCAGCCCGAGCTGGAAGGCCAGTGGTTCTAGACCCCAATCACTCTTGTTGGTGAGCGTTAAAGTCTACAACCTTCGCAGATGGGTACAGCTCAAGCACGCGGTCAGTCCCCTCTTGTACATGCTCATTGCTCAAACAGAGTTGACCCCACATCACTATTGTGGAACCTGAACAGGCAGGCTTAGATTCGGTTACAACGCCCATAGTCCACGCGTAGTTACAGTCTCATTGCTCGAGACCCCGAAGACGGCGACTACAGACATCTACCCAGACTTTTTACTTTTAAAAATTTCCTTCAAAATGCACTATCAGGGTGTAGCTGCCACTCGTAATTCGTGTTTCTAACTTATATTCCTCTTTTCATGTACAAACCGCCTAGTATTCATACAGAAAGGCAAACGACCGAAGAAAATGGGGTGCGTTCGAAGAGACCTAGGTATACTCAGCATTGGGTGGACACGAGTTGAAGAAGAGATTCACACAAACTGTGTCTTTGATTCGTGTGCTCTTGATTTTCGGTCACGTACCGTCATTATCTTCGCGGTTTTTTCTACGTAATTTATTATAGTGGAGTGTCTTTCCGCTTAAAGAGATTTAGGAATACTCACTCTGCGACTATTGCCAAATACAACAATGACTTCCATTCGTATATGTACGCCAACCCCGCATTCAACGCTGTGGCTCCTATGAATAGAATCACGAGAATCGGCACAGCCTTCTTACTGAACTTGGCCAGGATCATTGTTAAGATAACTGCCAGTATGTACATCTGCATGTCGACCGCTATATACCTGATGAAATGAAAATACTCGTTAAGATGCAACAATTATTCAACAACAATTATTGTTTCTGATAAAACAAGTAATGTATGATGTAGTTGAGTGATGAGTGAGACTAAAGTCGGTGTCCGGTGCTTTAAGAGCCTCCCTAACACACAGCTCACCTTGTCTTAAATCACATCCCGCTTGGTCGAAAACGTGTCTCATTAATTCTAATTTAACATAGAATTTTGTTCGTTTTTTTTTCTCTACCTATTCTCTGATAGCCTAGGAGGCTATTCCAGCTACGCGCGGACGGGTAGGTGAGCTCACGGGCTCAACCCGAGAGAATTTGCTAACATTAGCCCTAGCAAGAGCAGTGCACCGGACCGGAATCGCGACCTACTCAGAAGATCCGGCCAGAAACTCAGTGGGCCGTGTCTATGGGCTAGTTCGAGGATGAAGAGGTGACCGGTGCTTGAAGAGCTTAAAGACATCAAAAGTGGACTGGCAGAAGACATGTTTAGGCCATCAGAACGTCCCATTAACTTTAAAACTTGTATACTCATCAAGGACCGATAAAAATATAACAACTTTATGGCTTCACTCCAATATCCTGATCGGTATCAACAATTAAGAAAACGGATTAAAAAAAGAGATAAAATGAACTGTTACTTCGTTTTTTTGTTTAGACATATTTTAAACTGCAAATGAAAGTAGACGCGACAATGACATTGATATTACAATAAGAATTTTTGAAGATTAATACAAGAAGCGATTCACCAGGTCGGTATCAAACAGAACTTGTCCGGTTCCACCAGGTTATGGATAAAGAACGCGTGCGCCCAGAACTTCTCGCGGCAGATCTTACTCTGCTCCGCGACCGCAGCCGGCCACAGAGGTCCGTCACTGACCCGCGGCCACCAGGTCCCGGCGAAACCGATCACCAATAGACACACAGGGCTTAATCTGAAACAAATAATCATATATATGTCAGCACATGTCAGGGATGGCTGAGCGGTAGGTTCCGTCATCGCTTGTATTCGATTGAACTCAGTTTAGTCAATAAAACTTTTCAGTAATAATTATTGAAACTCAACACACACAACTTTCACAATGACAGGGTAAACCGACAGTTTCGTTGCATATACCGACAGACCGACTGACCGACTGACTGACTGACAGAGACTCACTGCCTGAGACGGACGGAATTACTGTCTGACACGGAAAATGACACGACTCTGTCCACGTACCCCCATTTTATACTGTGCGTTACGGAGTCTACCCTTCGTTTTGTGATATTTATCAAAACAACATTTCATCATTTAAAATAATAATCAAAACCACCGTCTTAATATTACTAAAGTCGTTATCCACGACAACTAAAAGTCGTTATCCACGACATATATTTAATTAGGCAAAGCTAAGTGCTACCATTTTCATGTTCGTTATTCAACCGACTTTGTTATTTCTTTTTAATAGGCTTTTCTTAGCTTCATACCGTTACGCGCTGGGGATCAGGATAAATAAAATTTCACCAAAGTACAACTTAAAAACTGTATTCAACACTTAGAACACTTAAACACTTCACAAACACCTTAAAACACGCTTTTATAGCCGATACCTCATCCCTAGAATTATCGAGAATATTCTACACCTCTCTAGTGGTAGTTTCCGCTATCTGTCAACAGATGGCGTTGTACTTCTCGAGCGTTCTGAGCGCTACTAGATTTCGTTATTCGATATTCGTTCGACTATTCAGCGATAGATGGCGCTACTCTTTACCGGCGTAACAATACGTATGTTAGAATCTATGTCTCTGTGTGTAAAGAAATCTTTAAACATGATTTTGACCCCCTTCAAAGCGTCGCATTAACTCGAAATTTGGCACACTTATTGGACCGTTGACAATTCAATATTTTAAACAGTTAAAATCTACGAATAAATAAGTCTATTTATTCGTAGGTTAAAATAGTTATTTACTTTCGGCAGTCAAAACAACAAATTCATTTGAGTGCCTTCTTTTTTCACTTAGCAAACTGGAAACTAAGTTGTATTTACGTGAATGTACATTACTGAATAATTTATGATACATATAATGCTACTTAAACTAAAAAGTAAAAAATAAATATTAATTTAAAAAAAACTAAAAAAAGTACGCTTTTTTTTACAATAAATTTATTTTCTATTTTTTCGTGTTCTTTTGTTTTTTTTTTAAACTATTATTTATTCGTGTAGCATTATTTAACGATCTTTAACGTAATCTATAAACTAAAAATTTCAAAGCAGTTCCATTACAGTCAAGTTGGGTAACTTTGAACACTTTTCGCAGATTTTTAAGTACACTGAAAAATTAATGTATTGGTTGCACTATTTTATACAGTGTGGTAAGTGTTCTTTCATTTCCAAAATTTAAATTATCTAACCAATATGATGTATTAATACAGAAAAGGTTTAGAAATGATATTCAAAGTTACAACGACTTTCGGATAACTTTGAATTGAGTTATCTGGGACAATGAAAATCCTCTATAATTACTCTAATCTCACTAATTATTATTTGATTTGGGTAACATTATACTTTTATTTAGATTAAAATATATGTAGAGGCAATGATATTTTATATGTAAAAAGAAGCAGATATGTTTCAAGCGCACGTCAAGTGAAGACTCGAAAACAGGCCAATTGGGACGTTTCGTCTTTAGTCGCGTCTAAACAAATGCAATAATAATATAACAAGTGCAATCGTTCCAATTATAGCTATCTTTTATACTCACGCGCTTATCCCATCTTTTGTACTTTTCATTAATGCTACTTGTCAACATGTGTGTGTACTATATCGGTAGGTATGTAGATATATATGGCGCGATCAGATTTGAAGAGTCAGTTACTATGAAGATAACAATGACATATCTGTTGTATAAAAAATCCACTGAAGTAGGAAACCTATGGAAATGAAACGTCAACAAAAAATTCGTGCCACTGTGACGTCATCTGGCCACAAAACATGGCGGTTTTAGTGCTGCCCAGAAGATTTTAATGTTAGTAGGTTTTATCGATAAACGTTCTTGGATTATTTTATTTTAAATATTGTTGAGTATGAATGTATTTGTAGAATTTATACTTTAATAGGAATTAAGTAAATTTTTATGTGCAAAGATGATGTGATTTAGATATTATGTGAAATCTAAGACGAGTTCGTGCTTCAAATTTTCCAAGTAAACGATATGACGATTTTAAAAATTTGCTACACTGATTTTATAAAGTTGTCGTTTGCCGCAAAACATAAAGATATGGCATAGTACAGTGCCATCGGCCCATTTCTAGCATGCTGAATGTTATCGTATTTTGAGTACGTGTTTTTCTTAGACTATTACAATCTATTTTAATTGTTTTGCTGACTCTAAAGTCCGTAACAGACTACCGCAGTGCACCTCAAGGAAGGTGCACCGCACCATTTGAATCACTTTCACTTGAGAGTGATTCAAATTTTAAACTTATCAAGGGACCGCCTGATAAAAAAAAACACCTACAGAACATTTATTCGTTAATGAAATTACAAACGTCATTCCTTGTGACTTCCTCTCTAAAATCAATTAATTAATAAATATTTAACGAATTTACAATAGTGTTTTGCTCACTGCGGAATAAAACTATTTTATTTAAATAGTTCCGAAGAGATTTTGTCGGTAGCCTTTTTCCCGAAATATCTAAACAGAATGTCTAAATATGTTTTGATGACATATTTTAAAGAGGTATTTATGATTAGTGTCATGATGAATAGATTCCGACCGAAAAATGGTGTCCGATATTTCGGATTCAAATATATTATTAAGTGTATAATCTATGTTTCGGATGAGGGCTCCATAATGAATTTAAATATATATAGATAATAGTTTTGGGGCATCGACCTTCTTGAGATCCTATAAAATATGTTTTAATTATTATTTTTGTATGTTTTAAGCATGATAAAATTAGAAATTTTATATAAGCAATCATATTAAATCGATATCAAAGTCAATAAATAATGTACAACCCAAAACAGACGGCCGAACTGACGTGACAATGACATTTGGCGCGCTAAACATGGCGGATTTTCGGCCTCATTAGACGGAGACGGAGACATTTACGTATATTCATGTTTCATTTTATGTACGCACTGAAATACTGTTATATTGTTTTCCTGCGAGTTAAAGTGCTGAGTAAGAACGAGATAGATATATGTTTATGTGTGTGCCTTCAAAATGGGTGCTATTTATATAAGCAATTGTACGTATAGAACAATATGTCGTGTCCCTATTATATAGGTCTATGAAAAAATCATTGTGTAGAGGTGTTAAAATAAATTGAGTGTCAACGACATCAAATTGCCATTCACTAGGGATGACTTGCCCCAAATATTTACTCCGAATAGGTGAAAAAAGGTTAACAGAAACACATGTTTTTTTAATAATATATGATATATTTATTAAGAATCAAATACATACAATTGTTCACTTATTTATCTTGTTGTTGATGTTCTTTTAGTAAATATATTATATTCTTCTTTACAATGCGGCAACGCATCGTTCATTGTTTTAATACCTCGTCCAAGCCCCAAAACATTCTTTTTTGAAAACATTTATGGTGACATTGTTAGAGCTTACTCTTTCAATGGATCGGATTTTATCTAGGGCTTCCTCTAAAACAGCTGGGTGTAATTTGATTTTACGCCATATTTACGCACACCGGGCTTAATCACTTTTACTTTTCGTGCCATTTTATTAACCTGTAGCAGTAGAAAAAAGTATAATAAATTGCAATTCAATATGTCAAAGTTACCCTTAAAAATAAAATTGGCAATTAGGTAAGATTGAATCGTTCAAAGTTACACCAATTTCAATTTACAATGATCTGTGAAACAATCAATTATGGGCAAAAAACATTGTAAAATCACGAAATTATTAGAAAAAAGGCAAGTTGAATAAATATTTTACCTCCAGAAACCAAAAAAAACAGTGTTTTACATACCTTTTCTATATTTAATTCAGATTTCTGTCACACCCACTTTTTTCTTGTTGATCACCGCGGACAGAAAAGGCGCCAAAGTTTTGAAAACTTATTCACAACTGACAATTTTATGGCACATTTAACATTTTTATCATCTCAACGTTTAGCTACTCACTTAATTCTTAGTGAATATCTGTGACCTTGCTCGTTCACGAAGCCCGCTATAGAAAGCAGAGTATTAAATACACTTGACATTGGCGAAATCTAAAAGGAAACGCCATAAACCTAAGAGATAGATAGATATCTCAACGTTGCGTTTCATATAATTATCTATATATTAATACGTGAAGCAAAAACTTTGTATCCCTTTTTACGAAAATTGCGCGGACGAAGGAGTATGAAATTTTTCACACTTATAGAGAATATAGAGAAGAAGTGCACAATGCTAATATTTTTTTTAAATAATGCATAAAAGATACATTAAATCAATAAAGAAAACATTACACACACTACATACCATGTATTTGACGCACACACGCATGCATACTATTTATTGTCAAACTTTTGTTCTTGACGTCTGTTGTCAAATTGAGATTAAATATTGTTTGTCTTTGTTCATATTTTTTATACTGTAGTCTTGGCGAAATTTGTGATCATAGAAGTATAAAATACAATCATAATAGTGTACAAACTTACAATTCCAATTAATTATAGCCGAATTTCGACTACTGCGGGACCTCTAGTTCAAGTAATTATACAAAAAGTGTTTGGAAAAAAAATTTATAAATCTTCAAACAGGTTTTATTCAAGGTTACACGAAAATTCAAAGTTACCCAACATGACTGTACATATATTATTTTTTATTTCATTAGCAAAACAAAAGAGAAAATGTAAAATAAAATATTTATTATAAGCCTTGAAGTGTCATTTATTAAAGTCGAATTTCTATCATAGAACGAACAATAGTTATTATTATTTAAAATAAGACCATTTTAAGTTTCTTATGAATTTTCTGTTACTAATTGTCCTTGTTACCTACTTAATATTCGACGTTTCTCAGGTTTGATTCTAAATAGAAAATTCTTCCTCACTTTTGAAGTCGATATTCCGGCTCGATGGTAGGCAAGCAATGATGTGATGGCAAAGTGAGCGCAACACTTTGGTCACACTACAGATGTGCCGGAAGCTTTATAACTATAAGCTTTAAAATAATATTTAAAAAAATATATACATATATAGTTTAAAAAAACTAACAAACTACGCTTTTAAAGAAAATCTAACTAAAAAATAGAAAATAAATTTTAATAAATTTGAATCAAAAATAGTCAGCCATATTACACCGAACAGTAAAGAAAAATGATTTTATTGTAAAAAACCGTGGGGTGCTTTTAAGGGTATCAAGGTTATTATTAAAATAACCCTTCTACTCATATTGTAGGCAGCGGCTTGGCTCTGCCCTTGGCATTGCTGACGTCCATGAGCGACGGTGACCACTTACCATCAGGTGAGCCGTATGCTCGTCTGGTTACAAAGGCAATAAAAAAAAATAAAAATATCGGTTCATCTATACATATAAATAAAATTGGAGCGTCTGTTTGTAATATTGAAATAGCCTCTTTACTATAGTATAATTATTTTGTTAGACTAGCTTCGCCCCGCGGCATCACTCGCGGTGCGACAATAACCGTGGCTAACATCACGAGACTCAGCTATAAATAATAAAATTTAATGTTTCCAAAGCGAAGCGAGGGCGGGTCGCTAGTAACAAATACTACTGAACGCAACTCAACCTCAAATGTCAACAATGTTAGTGTCATTAACTGTCACAATTTCTTGTTTAATTTGTTTAATTGTAATAAATAAAATACATATTTAAACACAATAATAATAAATAATAACATGTAACTTTTTTTATAATATTATAATTTTTTCTTACACTATTTTTAATTCAAATTTATTAAAATTTATTTTCTATTTTTTAGTTGAATTTTCTATAAAAACGTATTTTGTTAGTTTTTTTAATTTTTTTTTTCATTTTTTTGTTGAATTTCAAGTTTTTAAATTATTATTTTTTTAGTATTGAATTGTCACCGGTTTTTAATAAGTATACCAAATTTCGAGTTAATCCGACGTTTTGAAGGGGGTCAAAATCATGTTCAAAGATTCCGTTACATACATACGTCTGAAGTTAATAAAAGCGTAGGTATTAAAAAACACTCACCTAATTATTCTTTTCGCGAGCAACCTTAAGAATGTACCGAAACCAAACGGTTTGCTTGACTTTAACAGATTGTGAACAGTAAGGAAACTTGACAGTACAATGAACATGTGCACGACCGTCGTACTGTTCTGGACCGCCATTGTTAATGGATTCGCTATTACCTGAAAATTTTATCACGTAAATTCTAAGAAAGTATCTTAAAAAAGGTTCGCAGAAGAAGTTCCGTGCATAGGAGCAAGATAATATTCCTGATGCCGGTACACTGCTGAAAACTACTGCTACCGGATTCAAAAACGGCACGGTAGTAGTATTGCGTGACCACAGAGTAACGTAATAGAAGAAGTATTATTATAATATTCAGAGGCAGCTTTATCTATGGGGCAGGGTGTGGTTGCAGCGGTGTTAAGGGACTCCGCCCTTGGCAATTTCAATGAACCTATTACATTTTGACCACGCGCACTATACAGCACAAGGGTAGTGATTGCACACGGACGCTATAACGGACGCCTTTGTTAATACTGGAAAACTAAATGAAAACGTAGATTAAAATCTACATAATCTTTCAAAAATGTATATATACACTTGCCTGCTCCATTTCTCTTGGTTCGTACAAGAACAATGTATATAACAAAATTCCACTATGCACAATACAGATACACGCAGAAGCTATAACTCTGAAAATCAAACATAAAATAATTATCTGTGATAAATATGGCGAGTGAAAGTCATTTTGGATTTATGGCGGAGAGCGAAGTTCTGTGAAATGTTTTATTATGTTAAATGTCTGTGTTTATTCAGATTTAAACGTATAATAACGGTGGTTTATTAACTGTTTAGCATCTGTGAGACTGCACAAATGTGAGAAAATGCAGCAAACCGCTGGACGTGGCTTCTCGGGGGTTATTAACTGTTTAGCATCTGTGAGACTGCACAAAATGAAACGAAGCCGCTGAACGTAGCTTCTCAGGCTCTTCCAAAAATTCCACTGAATTTTCACTAAATAGACTTGTTCACTGAGACTTTAATTCATTTCGTCTCATATCGTTTCATTAAATAATCATAAACTCGACAATGGAAGCAATGACGTCAAAAGAAGCTAATTGGCATACTTAAAAACAAAAGGCATTTGTTTTTTCATTCCAAGGCAGTTGAACCCATAAATTTCACCGAACTTATACCATAAGGATATAGACAAACTATCTCCCCTAACTGCTAGCTATAGCTGACGCCCTTTTCAACCTATAAACCTTTAGAAGGAGGAAAGGGCACACACTCCAGAAACGTCGTAATATTTTTGAGTATTGAAACCATTTAAATAAAAAAAAAATCATCGAATCCCATCCATCAAACCATCACCAATCTTACCATTGCCTTTAACTCCGGGTGTATTAAAAAATATTTAATATATTAAGGGTGTTCTGATTGACTGAACAATAAATATATTAATAATGTTAAAAATAAATGCAGCTTAGCCTTAGCTTAGCTTAGCAGAACTACTCAACTATACGTGATGCCCTCATCATGGAGGGAGGACCGACATAAATGGAGGAGCATCATCAAAGAGAAATGAATCTTTCATCGAGGGAATCAAAGAGAAGGAAAACGTGACGATTGGATTCATATCAGTACATTTTTTTTGTTTCTTTTGGTAATTATTTATAAATCTCAAAGATTCAAGGAAAACAATAAAAAAAGTCAGCTAAATGATTAAAATTTTACTTAAGATCATAAATATTCTTTTGTATGCAAAGAGATTGCCAAGAGATTGTGAAGCAACTTTTCTTATTTAAATTTTAAGTGACTATATTAAGTCTTATCAAAACTTAGATCAGTGCACGTTTTATTCTCATTCCGCTTTGTGGATTAAGTCTAATTTAATATATTCAAAACTTTTGTCTGTTTTATGTTTATTCTTCCTACCTATTCGCTGATAGCTTATGAGGCTATTCCAGCTATGCCCGGACGGTTAAGCGAGCACACGGGCTCAACCTGGGAGAATTTGAACACTAGCCCTAGCAAGAGCAGACCTTGTCAAATCAATTAAAAAAAAAAAAAATTCAACATAAATGAAAGTACATACTTGTTGAAAGTGAGAAGAGAGAAGTGCTTCACAGAATCTACCACCAGATCGGAATCGCTACCCACTGAGAAGATCTGGCGAGAAACTCAGTGGGCTGTGTCTATGGGTTAGTTCGCTCGTCGAACTCTTCGTCATAATCGACGAGTTCGATGAGGACAGTGACCCGTGCTTGAAGAGTGCTTATCCGGGGTATCCGACAAAACATGTTTCGGGCGATGGCGGCTATGCTTTGTCCCGTCGCCTGAGTCGGATAAGGAATTAGCGGCGGCAACGATAATAGAATTATCGTGTCGCGCCGCTTTATCGAAGTGGCGTTCTGATGCAACATTAAGATACTTACAGAAACGGAATTCTTTGACCTGGAGAAAGTTTGTGTCCATACGGGCCGCGTGACCGATCACTACACTTGGATAGGTCATTACGGAACGTATGTATATTTAATAATTTTATGCTATTTACATTAGAATGTTAGTGTTACCACTCATGGCTCTTACGAATTATATACGAACTCACTTTATTCCTTGGATTGCTTGTAGGGATTTCCGTTCTGACTTATAAGGTTCAACTAGTTGCCGCCAGTTGGCCACAACAGACCAGGTTGTTAGGAGAGCAATCTCTGGAAAACAATAGTTTTTTAACTTAGTTAGTTAACGACGCGTCGTCCCATCCTCCTGGTGCCAGCGCGCTAGAGTGACGATAGCGTGCAGCGCAGCCTCAACGCCCTCAACCCCCTCAGGTCGCTCCGTGACCGTGACCAGGAAGAGACTGCCTCTTCATAGGGCCCAGAGCTGGACGAACGCCCACCTCCGTCCCCACAGCCCACGCCAGCGGCATGACGCCGAGAGGGAAGAATAATAAAAGCATTAATTCACTCACTTTTCTCATTATTCTGAGTGGCGTAATCATACGCGGTACTGGCTGCGTTCAATAATATTATCACAGCTATCGCAATGAGAAAGGTTAGTTCGGACTTGTCAGGGATCCGTGTGGCGTGTACGTCGCTATGGCTCCTACAGTACTCCAGTCTGAGTAGACGGGCGCGCATGCGACGAGAGCGGGCCCACTCCGCGGCGCAGTGCTCAAACCTATTCATCGGCTCCGCTGTTACATTCGACTCGCGTGCACTAACACACCATCCACGTCGGATAACAGTGCGATTGAACCTATACAATTCCTTTGAATAGTTCTGAAATCAGATAAATATGACGCTTAAATTGATTTGACAAATTAAGCTGGTGTTATAAATACGCTCGAAAGGGTAGGCGAGCTCACGGGGCTGAAGCTGACAGAATTGCTAACACAGACCCGAGCAAGAGCAGTGCTTCGCTGAATCTTGCAAAATACAGAACTGTTGTTATTTTATCTTAGACAGGTGAACGAGCGAGACGAGGAGAACGAGCACTTGGTAGGTGATTACCGGATCGCATAGACATCAACTACGTATGAGCTCTGAATCTTAGTTATATAGTACAACGGCTGCCCCTTTTAGACTCCAACTTCATACATCAACACCACCCGCCATGGGCTCTGGTAGCCAATAGTAGCTCAGCACGAACGAACGCACGACAAGTGACGCACGATTTCAGCACAAATGCGTTTCTATTTTACATAATAGGGGTTAAAGTATGAAATTGCCGTTTTATTGTAATAGGTACTTCGAATTGACATAGAATCTTCATGGTTTGAGATTTTTGAGTGAAACTTTTTTCAAATAGTACCTATGAGGTTCTTCTTTTAAAAAAACGTGCAACATTCGATTATCGACTTTCAGTTGTTTTTTTGTATTCAGCTTAGACAAGAAAGATGGATACTTCGAAAATTAGAGTGATTTTTAAATACGAATTCCAACGCGGAACTAACGCTGCAGAAACAGCTCGCAATATCAATGTTGCGCTTGGAGAAGGTACTGCTAATAAACGCACCGTGCGATTTTGGTTTAAACGCTTTCGTGATGGAAATTTTGGTTTGAAGAACGAACCACGTAGAAGACCGCCCACACATGTGAATAACAATGAATTGAAAGAGATGGTGGAAGCCGATCCGAGCCAAACTACTCAGGAATTAGCGGCATGGTTTAACGTTACCTTACCAACAATATGGACTCATTTGCGTCAAATCAATAAAATAAAAAAATATGAAAAATGGGCACTTCATGATTTTACTGATCTGCAGAAAGAAACGCGTGTTGACACTTGTGTTGCCTTGTTGAATCGATACAGAAATTAAGGAGTATTGGATCGAATTGTGACATGTAATTTAAAGTAGATTCTTTACGATATCCGTAAACGAAAAATGCAATGGCCGACCCCTGGTCAAACGCCACAGCAATGTCCTAAAGCAAAGCTTACCAATAAAAAGGTAATAGTAACTGTTTGGTGGTCTCAGCATTGTGTTATTCACTATAGCTTTCTCCGATCTGGTCAAGCAATAACGGCAAATGTCTACTGTGCAGAACTCCCAACAATGATAGCAAAATTTGCAGTGAAATAGCCCCGACTTATGAATCCATCTTCACCATTATTGCTCCATGATAACGCGAGACCTCATACAACACGAGAAACCGTTTTACCTCTACAGGAACTACAATTAGAAACCATTCGTCACCCTCCGTATTCGCAAGACCTTGCTCCAACGGACTACTATTTTTTTCGTGATTTGGACAATTTTCTACGTGATCAAAAGCTGTCTTCCCAAGAGGCAGTACAAAATGCTTTCACACAGCTTGTAGATTCTAGATCACCAGAGTTCTATCGCAAAGACATAAATGACCTTCCTATTAGATGGCAGCAATGTATAGATAATAATAATTAAATAAATATGTTAAATAAATAAAAACGAATTTCAATTTTTCAATACAAATCGGCAATTTCATACTTTAACCCCTAATAATATTTATCCTATCCCCTAATAATAATAATAATAAGTCAAGAAATTACAGTCATCAATTCGTAAACACGGTTCGGTTGTTCAGCAGGTGTGAGATGGAAGCTGCCGAGGCAGTACAAGCCGTCGGGATGCGAAAGACACTCATCGTAGTTGTCCAAATCGAAGAGACGAGGAAGAAGCCAGTAATCTTCCCCTGGAAGCAAAAATGAAACTTAGCAACGCTGATACAAAAATTTAATAGAATACTACCGCTAATCATGTGTAGGTGGCGCATTTACGTTGTAGATGTCTATGGGCTCCAGTAACCACTTTACACCAGGTGGGCTGTGAGCTCGTTCACCCATCTAAGCAATAAAAAAAAAACAGTTCAATTCTTAAAAGTATGCAATTTTTTTAACATTGTTTCTTTATCACTGTATCACATAGACCTATCGTCCGTAAGCTGACTTTACAAATAACCATTTTTTTTACATGTGTGGACGGGCTCACATCCCACCCGGTGTTGAATGGTCACCGGGCTCATAAACACATACAACATAAGTGCCGCAACCCACCTTGCGACATGAGTTCCAAGGTCTCAGTTTTTATAATACAACGGCTGCGCCACCCTTCAAACTAAAATGCATTACTGCTTCACGGCAAAAATAGGCAGGATGGTGGTACCTACCCGTGCGAACTTACAAGACGTCCTAGCACGAGGGATTACACAAATTAAAATTTTTCAGGTTTGATTTTTATTACACGATGTTATTTCTTCACCGTGGGCATCAATCGTGAATATTTGTTAAATTTGATACCAATGCACTGGGCGTCTTATTCTTTAGACTACGATGACTTATTTACATAATAATATATAAACTTTTATATATTTATAATTTCAAAGAATGTGTTAATTTTCTTTATTAAGACCTATATGTATTCTTTCTTTGGCGATTTCCAAACAAAAACAAAATTAGTAGATTAATTCGCGGCAGAAATAGTACTTTTATACCAATTGAACGAGCTTAAAACAAGCCCTATTATAATACTAATACCTAATCTGCCCCCAATATTTGCTAGTAAAATAAAAATTAATAGGGCTATTAACAGCTAGGTAGTAAAAGAGATGAGGATACTACTATCGCGTATTGATGATGGGGCAAATAAACGGCATTAAATTATTGAATAAATAATAGTCCGGACATATTATTATGATTCTGATAGATACTGTGTTATGCAAGGCAATTTGGTAATACATAGAATAGATCTTGTCATAAGATAGATTGAAACTTACCATTAAAATCAGCCGCTTTGACTTCGATGAGTGCTGCCAACAGACACAGACTAACCAACATTGCAAATACGAGCTCAAACGTCAACTGCTCGAGCCCTGAGTTGTGACTGTGAGATTCACGCGTTGTTTGATTTCCATGATTAATAACATAAAAAACAAATAGCTTGTGTACACGCGACCTTTTTTTGTCCGCCAGACTTTTATCCAATCCGAGACAAACTGCTGCAGTACGTCTTGAGCATAGTAAATAAGTGGGCTATTATAAGCTACTAGCTGCACCCGTCCGCTTCGCTGGTCATTTAAAATGAACATTATTATTTCTCACCCCCACAAAGATTCTCAACATTAACGCCCCCGAAATTGGCGTAGGGAGTCCAACACTCATATAAATATTAGCCTATCCGTTAAGCAGATGTATTTTCTACATGGAGACCAAGTTTCAAGTCAATCGAATGTACGGTTCAGTAGATATAACGGAACATCCGTAAAAACCACTGTAGATTTATATATTAGTATAGATTTTAAGGCAGTGGGCTGGCCATATATGCCGCAGAACTGATTACGACGATCGCTGGAGTAGACGGGCTCTCGAGTGGAGACCGCGCAACGGAAAACGTAACTAGTGACGCTCCCTGGCTTGGTGGTGCGATGACCTCAGAACAGTGGCCGGAAAGAGGTGGATGAGGAGAGTCGAAGACCGGGCTCAGTGGTGTGGATTGGGAGAGGTCTATCTATAGGATTATATCCAGGATCCTATAGGATTATATCCAGCAGTGGACAACTGTGGGCTAATTATGGGAGTTTGATTTCTATTACACGATGTTATTCCTTCACCGTGGAAGTCAATCTTGAACATTTGTTAAGTACATATTTCGAACACCGGTGCATCGCAAGATACGAATGCACCGCACGTCTTATCCTTTAGGCCACGACGACTCATTTCTAATCTCCCCATCTGGGCTTTGCCAGGTCAATTTTCGTCCAGATATCGTCGTAAAAGACCCTGCAAACTTCGTCAGAGTATGTCGATGTGGAAGCTTATGCTTGCACATCTTTTAATAAGCATCAACTGTTTAGTTTTACTACAAGATACGCAACGCACGCCGACACACTCCCGACTTCCGTAATGTGGTTGACAAGGGATTTATGGACAAGGAAACAACGCCGCTCAGCGAGAGCTGTTCTCCTTCTCGATAGAAGAGCATATCTCCTGAGGCTAGGGCTTCGTAACTCTCTCCCTCTCCTCGGGTTTCCGATAGGCCAATAATATGCTAATTTACTGTGCTCAATTCTGCCTCCAGCTCTTGGAGATGTTCAGCTTTCAACAATGTCCGGGTATTGTATACGCCAAGGCACAGACGTTTATGGTAGCCGGATCGCACCGGGGGATTCTTGGCACTCCCTACTCCACCGTTACCGTTGCCGCTGCCGTAACCAGGAATAGCGGGACTGCCCGGGACTGGGAGCCGTTCGTTTTGTGCTTTGTCTATTGGGAGCGTTATGCCAATAGTCACCACGCTTGCCAGGCGGTTTGGTGACCGCATTACTATATCCTTTCCTCAGGCATGCTGCTACCCATGTCCTAGTGCGTTTTTATTTAGGGACATAGCTTATTATGGATGTTTATACCGCCATCTGTTGGTCGCCAGAGCCTAGGTAGCAGAGTGCGTCACAGGTAGGTGAGGTTGGCTATTGAGTATCTGTGATTACATTGCCACCCCTTATACCCATCACTAAGACACTATTTGGTTTTAAATAAAACAATTTGACATATCTTAAACACTATTTAATCTCCTACAAGTATCACAATTAAACAGAAGACGGAAATTGTATATAAAATCAACGAAGAATAAAGTCAAATGTCCTCTTCATCGGCAGCTCAACCAGCAAAGTCAATAACAATGCCAGTGGATACGTGAAACAGATTGTGGTAACGCCAACCGGTAGCTGCAACATAAATCACACACTCATTTATCCGGGCTTCCGAAACTCACAGTTTTCGTATAAACGCAAAACGAATATCACCACTATGAAACACAGAGTCAAGATCTCAATTGCAATGGCACATCGTCTACAGAAATATTTAAGCCGGCAGGCACGACAGTTTTGCGACATATTAATTACTAGCGACCCGCCCTCGCTTCGCTTCGGAAACTGTAATTTATTATTGATTTCTCCACTATTCAATGGATATTACTATGCATAAAACCTTCCTCTTCAATCACTCTATCTAATAAAAAAAACCGCATCAAAATCCGTTACGTAGTTTTAAAGATTTAAGCATACATAGGGACAGACAGATATAGGGACAGAGAAAGCGACTATGTAGTGATAATGTAAAGGCCGGGTAGTGATACGCATCTTTACTAAATCATAAATATCTCTTCATGCAGTATTGAAGGCATTAATGGCTTTGGAATTAAAGAGTTTTTTTAAAATTAAAATACCTACGTGAGACACTATACTATCGAAAAAGAGATAGAGAATTTTCATAGAACCTCAAAGAAACGAAGACACGGATATTCTAATTAACAGCCATTCAAATTATCATCATTAAGATCGCTTGAAACTCAAACTCAATTACAACAGACTTTGTATTAAAATAGAATAGAAGAACTACCTAGGAACTTATTGTGAAAGACAAGGTTTAAGTAAAAAAGGAATAAACAAAAATACTCAGTTTATATAAGTTTTTGATTCCAACTATCAATTAAGATATGTAAATAAGCAAAACTCATAATTATTTAGCATAAAAATTAAAGAATATTAATATTTTTATTACTGAGATTCTGAAAAATAGCTATTGAATCACGTGACAGCAAACACCAATCAGAGAGCGCCACGTCACGGCGTGCGAAACATGGCTGTTGACGTTTTGACTGAACAGAACAGGTTACTTGTTATTATGTTTCATTTCCTCAAACACGAAATGATAATGCGCTCACAATGTTAAGGACCGAGGCCGCAACCGGCTGAGGCGATTGACCAATGATGACCAACGCTATGCACCAGTGTATCTGCATCACGGGCAGAGAGAGCTGCGCCAACAGATGCCACCCTCGCCAGGTGAATGCGTTTAAGCTTAAATCTGAAATTAATAATCGACACAATAAATTCGATACAATATCTACAGCTTAATAACACTGTAACATAATTGAGGCCTATAAAATCAAAGGCAGCTAAACGCCTTAGGGTGGATTCGACCAAACTTAAATTTATACCCGGGTAACTATACGAGGAATAACCTATTCCATGATTTTAATCTCGAGTAAATCCATAGTCGTTTTTCCACGTAAACGAGAGTATACTTACTCTAGGAATAACAATACGCGAATAACAGAGTGAATGGTGAACAAAAATAAAACCCGGCAAATAAATGTTGTTGTACAACGGCATAGTGTAAGAGCATACATAGCGTCAACTCGATTTTGCCGTATTTTAGTGTGAAAAAGTAGCTGTAGTGTAAGATAGAGAGAGAGAGAGAGAGAGTATTCTTTATTGTACACCAAAAAACAAATAAACAGTTCGATACATTATCAAGATATTTAGCTGCCAAACGTATTAATTTTATTTGTTGTTTGTTTGAGGGAATTGTCAAGTTTTGTCGTGTGGTTTTATCTTTTTTCGTTTAAACGTTGCATTACACAATGCCAGACTATTATTAATAATTTAGTGCATTGCGTTGACTTGAAATTAAAACAGATGCTTTGAAATAAAGAATATCGTAGCTATCCGAACAAAGTTATTTTAGCTTCTCAAACCGGGGTGTTGCTAACACTGGCCCTAGCAAGAGCAGTACTTCAATGGATCTGGAGGATCCTAAGGGTGGATTCGACCAAACTTAAATTTATACTCGAGTAACTATACGAGGAATAACCTATTCCATGATTTTAATCTCGAGTAAATCCATAGTCGTTTTCCCACGTATACTTGCGCTAGGAATAACAATACGCGAATAGCAGAGTGAATGGTGAACAAAAATAAAACCCGGCAAATAAATGTTGTTGTACAACGCCATAGTGTAAGAGCATACATAGCGTCAACTCGATTTTGCCGTATTTTAGTGTGAAAAAGTAGCTGTAGTGTAAGATAGAGAGAGAGAGAGAGAGAGTATTCTTTATTGTACACCAAAAAACAAATAAACAGTTCGATACATTATCAAGATATTTAGCTGCCAAACGTATTAATTTTATTTGTTGTTTGTTTGAGGGAATTGTCAAGTTTTGTCGTGTGGTTTTATCTTTTTTCGTTTAAACGTTGCATTACACAATGCCAGACTATTATTAATAATTTAGTGCATTGCGTTGACTTGAAATTAAAACAGATGCTTTGAAATAAAGAATATCGTAGCTATCCGAACAAAGTTATTTTAGCTTCTCAAACCGGGAGTGTTGCTAACACTGGCCCTAGCAAGAGCAGTACTTCAATGGATCTGGAGGATCCTTAATGACGTGTTTAGGGCCGATTTTTGTAGTTTACCTGAATATTTGACAGACTTGGATTTAGCTGCCTTTGATTTTATAGGCCTCAATTGCGCATTGCAACTTATTATTTTTCGAACCATATATAAAATACTTTAGTGGTTTCATCTCGTGTTCTTTATTATTATTATTTCAGACTTTTCGAATTATTTACAGTTTACGTGAATACCGTTGACTTCGATTTGATCAACGACAACTCATGTTACATTTCGAATTGTTTATTGTACTTCATGTATTATTTATCTACATACATGGATGACCTTTTTAATTAATTTTTTAATTTTCTACCAGTCAACCAAAAGTAGTGCTGAGTAAGCAACGGTAGGTGCTGTAGCGAGTACACAAGTACTGGCCTGGGGACAAATAATAAGTCGTTTTTTTTTTAATTGTCTTTATAATCAGACGAGCGTACGGCCCACCTGATGGTAAGTGATTACCGTCGCCCATGGACTTCAGCAATGCCAGGAACAGAGCCAAGCCGCTGCGTACCGCTAAACCGGTTTGTGGAAGTGATGTTATTTAACTTGAGTCCGACAATAATAATTAGATAAAATATTTGATGTTTAGAAAAGGCGCCAAAGTCGTGTTTTTTTTTAAGGGATTTTATGACCTGG